TTTTTAGATTCCGTTTGCTAATAAGAGTGATGAGGAAAATTTCTATAAGCCTCTTACGCAAACTCGTGGTTTTTATATGGACGTTATCGGTAAATTATAAGAAATTTAAAAAACTGTTTTAAATTATTTATTTTATTTAATTCAGATGAAATTTTTCATAAAGAAGATTTACGGTGGAGGAAAAAGTTTTTGATGGTTTATTATTAATATTTTAAAATTCTATTCTTTTCAATATAAAAAGTATTATTTTTTTTAACTTTTCTACTACAAAAATAAAAGGGGCTGCAATCTGAAGTAGATGAAGATTTAATTTCGAAAGCAAACCTGGAAGGCCCGGTACTATAGACTTTTAATAATAAAAATATCCTCATACTTATTTGTATATTATATTATACTGTGTACATAATAATATTCCTATAATAATATTTTTTTTAGAGTAGTGTACATTTAGTAACAGTATTAATAAATATAATAATAATACTTTACTTTATCCTCGCAAGTACAAGCACTCGCGTAGTTTACTAACTGCCATCGAGAAGGTCGTGAGGTTTTCCTATTGAATACTATTCTCATATTTTTATACTTTATTATTAATATTGTCTTAAAAATATATTTATTTTATCTTATCTATATATTTTTATACTTCACTATAAGTGTTGCCATGCATATTTGTTTCTTCACTATTAATATTGTCGTATATTTAAATATAATAATTTTATTTTTATATTATTATCTTCAGTATTAAGATTGTATACTTATAGTTATATAAAATTATTCATATTTATTTATTTTTATACTGTACTATTAATGTTGTCGTATAATATATATTATTTTTTATCATACTATTTTATTAACTTTGAATTTTTTAACTTTTTATTTTTTATACATTTTTATTATCTTTATCATTTTTTAAATATATTTTTCTTTATTTTTTAAAAATAACTTTTGATGTTAATAATATTTTTATTATTTTTTATATACTTTATTATTGAAAATTATTTTTCTTTATATATTTTTTATTTTTCTTATTCTATTATTCACTGTAGCGATGATAATGAAAAGCTTCCTTTAATCGGACGAGTTGTACTAAAAACTCGTCCAAACTTTTTCTATAAACTATCGAAATCTCACAGCTGGCCTGTAAACTTTTCAATTCGAATCGGTATTATTACTACAACAAAAAAAAGTTTATATATAGTTTAATATTTGTAGATTTATAGTAATATTTATATGCATAGTAATTTATATGCAATTATAAAGATATTTTTTTCAACTATTACTATTATTCTTCTATAAGTAAGGAAAAAAGACCTTTTTCCAGTTCTATCAAGCTTAATTTTTATTGTAGAAATGCGAACATCTACGTCGTCCTTTTTTAGCCTATGGCATCTCTATTAGAATTACTTATTATCTTTATATTTATATTTTTATAGAACTAGCATAATTATAAAGTATATAATACGTGAGAACTCAATTATATAAAAATAACTTTTATATATGAATATTTATTATTTAAAGAAAATATAATTGTGAATTTATATGGAACTTTTATACCCATTTTTTAATCGAAGCTTTTAGTTTATTTCTATTTATAAAGATATTTATATCGTTCATATTTATGGGCTGATTGGTCATTTAATAACCCATTATACTGAAGTCAATTAGAAAAATAACTTTATCTAATAAACGGTAATATTTTTATACATTGCCTAATTTTTTTTTAAAGCCCTGGTGGGCTGTGTTTACTCTTGCGACCTTTCTGATTGGTTTTTTGCACAGCTTCTTAGCCTATAGCATCAGTGATTTTTAATTTAAAAAGGAAATATTTAAAAAATTAAATAATTTTATCTTGTGCTTTTGGCGCAAAAAGTCTTTTTTTAGTGAAAAACTTCTAACTTTTTTATGTAATACTCAAAAGTATAACAAGTTTTTTTAATTAATATAAGAGCAATTCCTTGCCTTTTCTTCGTTATATTCTGTTACTAAATTCGCTAATAAATACCTTTTTATCATAAGGCATTCAATTGGTGACTCGATTAAAAATCATATTCTTATTGGTTTACTTTTATAATTTTATTTTTTTAATGAACTTTTTAGTTGATGAAAGTTGCGCAGTTGATGTTTGCGTGTGGGATGGGGCGTGCGGAGAGTATTATTCTGCTATTCTATTGGACGATATTGTTTGTATTACTGGTTACAGAATACACAAAAGAAATAATTATGCTCTTGGCGAGGTAAAAAAGTAAAGATTTTTGATAATAATAAGTCAAAATAACGATAAGAATAATAATATTAAAGCAGTAAATATAAAAGCAGTTACTATAATAAATAATAAAAATAGTGGTAATAATAAGGTTTGCATTTTTTAAGAAAATATAAAATTCATTATACCACAATTTAAAAAATAATAATGGAGTAGATATTTTTAAAACAACAATAATAAATAATTAACAGTTTTAAATAATAATAATATATATTATAAACTTCCACAATAGTAATAATTAATAATAACTTAATTTCTGAGGATATTAATGATAATAATTATTATTATTTTATACAGTAATAACTTGGTTATAGTAAAAAAAATATCATAATAAAATAATACAAAAATATTAAGTTGCTATAATAAAGTTATAAAAAGAAACTCGTTATTTTATAAGCAAAAACGAAATTATGTTATATGTAATAAAATAATGATAATAGTAATAGTAATAATAATATATACATTAACGCTTTTAATAAATAGCAAAAATAATAATTGTATATAATAGTAAAAAGATAACATTATAATAATTGAAAATAATTTTCAATTTTTACTGATATGAATTCAAAATAATTGAAATTCATAATTTGACAATTATATATATATATATATTACTTATTACTTTTACAAATATACTTTATATAAATATCTGTTATAGTTATACATAAATAATTATTTACTTTTTATAAAGAACTTGACTATTCCTGCACAAGTCCCTCCCGGCAAGAAAGTATTGCCTTACGAGCTTGAAATCAATAAGCCGTACGCTAATATTTACAGCGTTTTCAATGGTTTTTAAAATATTTATATATATTTATTACTTTTGTATTAAACCTTTACTAATAAACAAGAAAATAAAGAGAGCTTTTTATATATATGCAAAAGAAAGTGCGTTTATTGGTTATAGATAGTTATAAGAATCGTCGAATGAAATTTGCACAATTTATATTAACGGGGAATTTTTTTATTAAATACTAAATTTTTAATAATTAAAAATATTTTTATTCACAGAATTTTATTATTTACTTAAAATATTTTAACTGCTATTATTACAGTTAAATGAAATATTAATTATTATTTATAATATTTTTGTTTTAATTAGAAAGTTTAAATATAATATAAAATTTTCATTATAAACTTTTTAAAACAAAATAATTGTTTGAGGATATAAAAAGTTTTATATAACAACAGTTATATCGAGCTCGAAAATTTTTTATTTGAATGCTATTTATAATAATGGTATTATTTAAATAATAATACTTCATGCTACTGTTTTTTATTTTTACTTATAATATATTTTATAAAAGAGAACATTTTATTTTGTTTTTTCTTATAAAAAGTTTAATAATAATTTTATATAATAATATTTTATTTTACTAAAAATATATTTTATAATTTTTTTAAAAAGGACTTTGTAATAATAATAATAAGCTTTTCCTTATACTGATAAATTTTTTTAAATGTATATTTTTATTACTTTTTATACAATTATATCTTTTTTTAATAAAATAATTATTATATAGTTTATAAACTTTTTTATTATTATAACTTTAATAAAAATGTTTGCACTTCTTTATATATTTATAACTTTTTTAAATGATATTGTTATAGTTATAATTTTTTATATTCAATAATAATTTTTTTATATTATTTCTTATAACCATATAAAAATTTAAAAAGACTCACAATTACAGCCTTCGTCATTATAAAAGTTTTATATATAAAAAAAATAAAACTTTAAAAGTTTATTATTTCGTGTACTATTATTAAATAGGATTGTTAATTAGTTTATTTATTTGTCTTATAATAATAAGAAAAAAATATATACGTATTTTATAAAAAGAAAATAATAATTTTCGCTTTAATTATAAAACTTTAAGATTTTTTTTAAGAAATGTAAAAAAAAATTGTAAAAATTTTATCGGTTCCATATTTTTGATTTTGGTAGATTATTTTTATATTCAGATCCAATTTATCTTATTTGGTTATTTATCTTTTTTAATTATTTTATGGTAAAATTTTACTTGTAATTTTTGTATAATTTTATATAACTTTTCTTATTATTATTATCACTATTACTATATAATTTTTATCTATTTATTATTATCATATTATTTTTTGTAAAATTATTATAATTACTTTATCATAATTTTATATTTTTTTATTTTATATTTTTGGTAAAATTTTTCTTTATTATTTTTGAATCTTTGGGTAATCATTGCTATTATTATTACTTTTTCATGTTTATATTATTTTTGTATAATAATTATTTTCAAGTTTTTACATAATTTTCTTATAATTTTATAATTATAATTTATATAATTCTATTATAATTTTTGTATTATTATTTTATACTTTTTATATATTTTTTTAATATTATTTTTTCTTTTATATAATGACTTTATAAAAAGCTGAACTAAATATGAAACTTCCTTTCCGTACTTATAATATACTTTCTTTTAACGAACTTGAGTTTATTGAGGTTTCTTATTTTTATTACACACTTTACTAAAACTTTTTTATAGCTTTTTAAATTTGTTTGATTTATAAATTTTACTTTTTTGAAGGCTAATGCCGTGTTTGACTTGGCTGGAGTTATTATATACATTGGAAGAACTGAAAGAGAAGAAGCAGAATACAAATGTTGTTTGAAAAGTTTTTTAGTAAGGGAAATTATAATAATATATATTAAAATTATTATTATTATGATTAATATTATTATTAATAACAAAAAAAAGTTTCGCTGGCTAATATTAATGGATGAACAAAAAAAAAAAGTGTACCTCAAACTTTATGAATCGGTGGATCCAGTACTTATTATAATTATTTCATATATTATATATTACTTCCAATATTATTATTATTAATTTTTTACTAATTATTACTAGCTTGCCATGGAAAATATGAATACTGGTCACGTTATATTGTGTACAGACATGAGGTTCGTATAAATTTAAAAAAAAAAGAGAAAAGTCACGTGGCCATTACTTTCTGATTATTGACTGCTTATGAAAATAATAATTATAAATTTTCGCCATTGGCTTTACTTATTTTTAATTTTATTATTACTGCTGCTATATATTTTATGTACTTTACTATTATGAAAAAAGTTCATGTTTCGTATTTTTATAGCAGTTTATGTATTGATAATCTTATAAATTTATATTATTTTATTATAATTATATTTTTACTTTTACTATATTTACTTTTAGTATAAATTTCTTTTGGTTATATATTATACTTCCCTATTATTATTTATATTATTATTCTTTGTTACTAGTGGTTAATACTTTTTACTTTTAATTTTTTTTTTTTGCTGTATATAAATTTTTATTAAAGATCACAAAAAGAAATTTTAGTAAACATGTACATATATTAACATAAAAAAGATGGACAACATGCAAGAATTATAAGGAAAGCTTTTTTTGCTCAACATTTGCTACTCAAGTGTTTATAAAGCAACTAAACACTGATAGTTTTGGTAATTACTTTTTTCCGCAGGTATTCACTATTTTCTGTTACTTTTGTTGTGTTTTTTGGAACGTAAACTTTTTAATGAAAGTATTTTTTTAATTAAATTTTTTATAGCTATAAAAAATTCTTTGTTTTTTTATAAGCAAAATATATACTCTCCACTTAAGAACGAGTTGACTAATGGAATTAGTTTTAAATATATTTATATTGACTGGCTGTGTAAAGAAAGTACTTTTTATAAGTTTATTATGCATTTAAGAAATCCGCAGTGCACTCTTTACTTTTGTCAAAAACTTTAAATAAAGCTAGAAAAGTTCAACTTTCCTTTAAATTATTAGATGCTCTTTTGGCCATCAACAATCATAATAAAACCGCTATCTTTATTATTAGATAATTGGTCGGTTTCAGCAGGGTGTATACTTTTTTTTAAAAGGGGAGAATATTTTTTTATAGCGTTAGCATGAAAAAATAGGCACAGTCACGCGCTTCTCCTTTAGTATGAGCTTTCTTAATAAATCTTACCAATATGTAACTTTTGGGTCGTTATTATAATAATAAAAAAGTGAACAGTTTTAACCAATCATATCACTTTATAAAGATCTTACTTTATTACTTGGCAGCAAAAGTTAATCTTTGTAATTAGTGTTAGTCTTTCTAATGAACTAAGAACATATATACTAAAAAGTAAAGTAGCGTATGTGAAAATAATTTTTCCTTATTTATTTAGATTTATCAAGTTTCATTAATAAAAAATTGGTATTATATTTACTTGCTATTTTATAAGTACTTTAGGCCGTGAAAGTTAACGTTATTGACTTTCTTATAAGTATCTCTTAAATTCGGTTTTAAGTTTAAAACTAAATAAACAACACTATGGAAGGGTGTAGACTTTATTAGAAAAAAAACTAGCAACAAACTCTACATATATAGAAGTTGGATAGAAGAAAATAAAACTCTAACACTAATGTTCTACTCCGCTCGCATATGATATATATTATTATGGCATTTATATTTATTATTATAATAGATGAATTTAAATTTTTATCTAAAGTTTTACTATAAGAATTAAAGTACTTTTAGAAAAGGGAAAAGATTATTTACTAAATTTCCTAATACTTTAGGGAATACGAAGGTGTGACCGTTTAATAAGCTTTGCCTATTCGTTGAAGGTAAAGAAAAACTAAAAGAATTTTTGCAACGTTTATATGGTAACAAACTTTTTATGCTCAGGACATGTCAACTTTTTCAAATTTTGGGTATTTTCCATTCTCGACTACTTCTTATGAAACTTTGGAGGACTGTTCGACAGTTCTAAAGAAGATTGAGTATCTCAAATTATATCAAGTTATTATAAATTTCGTTGCGAAATGCCATCCCGTTATTATCCTCATATGGAGGTTCATCGGACGGTTATTCAAGGAACTGTCACACTCATCGAGTATATTCCCATTCTATTGACTCCCAAAACGGGTGCCGGCCGCGAATCCGCCACTTCGCTGAAGCAAGAAGAAATTGATAGGAGTGCACCATGTAACTTCTACAGGCTTAATACTTCTAACGCGAAAACTTCGGAGCACTTGTTGAAAAAAAAAAGTATAATATTATTAAAAAGTTTATGAACAATTTCGAGTATTATTGTTTTTATACAACTATAGAAATAGCTTTATATGAATGGAAAGAAAATAAAAATAGCAAGGTGAGATATACTTATCAATATTAGCTAGAATCATTCTATGTAACCATCTACAGATTCGACCTTTTTTTGACGAATGGGAGGGTTTAACAACACAACTCGCCGATGGTAGCTGTGCCCGAGCTTTTCAGTAAAACACTATCACTTTCTTTTACTGCTTATATTTTTAGAAGATAGTACCGAATTTATGATCAGCAACAAAAAACATGATCCGGAAAAGTATATCGTCATGCGACCTACCAAACACTGCTGGCCAATAACTGATCCCATAGCGCCATTTGAGGCGTTTTATTGGAGAGTTTCCTTACTAAATTTAAACCGTAAAATACTGTTGCAAGGTAATGCTGGTACAGTATTTGTTTACGAGTACTTTTATTGAATATTGTATGCGCTATCTTTTATACTTTTATTTTTGTTATTTATATTTTATTTTTTAAACTATTATTTAGGGATGATTCTGCCTTTTCGTTATAAAGCAGACGACTCGACTTCTTTTATCGATAAAGTAATATATTACTACGAATACCATAAGTTGCTTCTTCATTAATGCAGCTTAACTTTTTCTCAATAATACATTTATTATCACTAACAATTAACGTAAATAATTCATCGATTATTAAAGATTTGATTGGACAGTAAAGAACGAATAATAAAATGCCACCAATATTGGCCAATTTTTAAAAGGCAGGGTTACCCTACAAAAAAACAGTTCTCCACGTGATAGCACCGTCTTACCGAATAATAATATAAAGTTTTAATATAAAACATTTATTAACGGGTATTAGCCCACAATTATAAATTACCCTACTTATTTGACTGTTTATTGATAATCACGTGGCAGTTCCACTGTGTAATAATAAGTTGCGGGGATAATAATTGTGTTTAAAATGTTGTGTTATATGAATACAAAGACAAATCATTATCATTTTTGTCATAATTTAGCCTATTTTTTGTTTACATAGGTAAAGGGTAGGGTTACTAAACAGAGAAATAATATATGTTATAAATATAAAATTTAGTAAATTAATACGAAATTTAAGTTATAAGGAATGAAAGGTTTTACAAATAAATATTTATTAAAATATTTTAAAAATAGTAAAATTTTAATACAAATATAAGTAAATTTATATACAAATAAATATTACAACTATTTATTGATAAATAATAGTTTTATGTTTCGTTAAAATGTACAAAGTGAAACCAATAAAACGGCAGCCCCCAAAAAAATGTGCATGCCTAAAAAAATGAGTTGTCGAAAATAAAATAAAAAATTTATAAAAACTTGAGCGTTTTCTAGGCGGTTGTAAGAATAACAATATTGGTCAGTTTTGCTTTGAATAATTGGTTTTTTTTTTTTTTGCAAAAAAGTTTTTTTCATTTTCAATTTGTAAAAAAATATTTCAGTTTATTTTTTAAAAGAAACTTTTTGAAAAATATTTTATAAAAATATTTTTTACTAAAAAAATAACGTAAACTTTTTTACATTTACTTACTTTAATATATTTTATTTTTTTTTTTTTGATATGAAAAACTTTTTCATAATTTACTTCTATACTTTTTATATATTATAAATCAGGATCAACTCAAACATCCCTATAAAACTCTATTAGAAAAGTTTTCCTTTATCAAAAATAAAAAGTTAAAAGAAAACCAAAAAGTTTCAAGCGAAGAGCAAAATTATTTAGTAATATATTTGTAGTATATAATTATTATTCAGTCTTTTATATTTTTTTATTAAAAAAGATATAATAAAAATTATTATTAATCTTCAAGTTTAATAAAAAAAATTATTAAAAATATTATTTGTTTTAATTACTAATACTTTTAATATTATTATTTGCTTCATTTTTCTTTTATAAAAATAATATTATAAATTTATAACAGTAAGCTAAGTTTTTTTAAATAGTAAAAATAAAAAATATTTATAACATTTTTATTAAATAATAATAAGTATATAAAAGTTTATTATAAATAGTGTTTATTTTCAGGTTTAATAATAAAAAAGTGCTCCTTTTTTTCATTATGTATTATTTTCGTAAGAAAAAATGTTATTTTTATATTAATCTTTTATTATTATTAATATTTTACTTTCGTCATATTAATAAAACTACAAATATATTAGTATATAAGAAACTATTCTTGTTTCTATTTTTTTTCTATTTATTTTTCATTACAATTCTTTTTTACTTCTCTATATAATATATTTTCAAAAATAATAATTATTATTAGTTTCTATCTATTTTATATTATAACATTTTTCACTTTTATATATAAATTTTAAAATATATCATTATTATATTTTTTTTTCCATATTTATATAAAGTTATTATTATTTGTATTCATAAATATATATTTTTAAAAATGATGAATATTAATAAATTTTATTAATTTTATTTTTTACTCTTAATTTTTATTATAACTATTACTTTTTACTTTTATATACATATTATTATTATTTTTTTCTATTTATTTTTTATTACTAGTACTTTTACTTTTATAAAAATATAATTATTATTAAAATCTATTATTTTTTTTATAAATTTTGTATTATTACTATTAATTTTACTTTTATAAATATATTTATAACAAAAATAATTATTCTTATTTTCTATTAAAACTATTATTAATATTATCTTTTTTACTATTATTTGATATTTTTTATTAATAATAAAGAACATAATAAGAAGTTATTCTTTATGACGATCATAATTATTATAAAACTTTTACTTATATTAGCACAATAACTACTTATACGTACTGTCATTATAGATATATTATTATTTAGTAATATAAATATAATAAAACTGCTATTATAATATTTTTTATTATTACTTATCACTATTATAGTAATTATTAAAAAAAACGTGATAAGTAAAAATACTATATAACTTCTACTTATTATAACTATTTATACTTTTCTTATCATTATAAATAATTTTTTATTGCTATAATATAATAATAAAACTGCTATTATAATTATCTTTTTCTTATTATTTTGTGATGTGTATATATTTTTTTAAGAAAAAAGAACTTGAAAATAAAAAATTGTTATTCTTTATTGAAATTCGCCGCAATGGACCAAAAATAGAACAAGTGGAAATAATAATAAATGGTGTGCACGAAGTAAAAAACGCTGATTAATAAAAATAAGTTTGTATTATTATTATTATTATTCGTGACCCCGCTCTTGAGCATCATACCACCAAACTTTCACCAGTCCATCGTCTCCACAACTAGAAAAGATATAAAATAATAATAAAAAGTAAAATAGATAAAAATTATAGGATATAATAAAAAAAAAAAATACTAAACTGTTTATTAAAAAAATATATGTAAAAAGTTTGCAGTTATTGATAATACTAATATTTATAAATAATAAGGATAACAAACAAAATAGTAATATATATATTTCATAAATTTTAAACAAAAAAAATATAATAAGGTTTAAGGTATAAAAAATAATGAAAGCAACGACTATAAAAACCCAAAAAACTAACAAGCTCACTAAACTATTTAGTCTTTAAAATAAAAAATGTTAATAAAAATAAAAAAATAGTAGTGCATTTTTTGTGCTATAAAATTAATGAAATTTTTTAAAATAATGATAATAATAATAACAATAAATCTTACGAGGCCATTAATGATTGGCTATTATTCCAACAGGCGCGATAGGCCGTCCCGTTATGGCCACGCAGGCGTTGCACAATTTTTCCAGTGTCTATATCCCAAAGAAAAATATTCCCGTCCTTTTAGTATAAAACCAATCATATAATGAGTAGATAACTATTAATCATTAAGAAATGAGTATAATATAATAACTTATAAAAAAAAGTCAATAATAATAATGAAAAATAAATAAAAAACATCTAGAGAATATAAATATATAAAAGTAAATTTATTAATAAAAAATGTATTAAATTATAGAAATATTAAAAAGAGTGAGATGGCAATATAAAAATTTTGTTGCTGTTAATCTTTTATAAAAAGTTTTTTTTAGCTCAAAAAGCCAATAAAAAGTAATATAAAAAGTAATATAAACTTTATTTTAATATAAAACTTTATAGAAACTACAATATAATAAATATAAAAAATAAAAACCTCGCTTCCGCCCATCACTATTTTGTTTGAAGGGCCAAAGTTTGCTTTCACAAAATTCTTCGAAGTATTGTAGTGGCCTCTGAACTTTTGAGTGGGACGAAGCTTTTATGAATAAATATATGTAAAAAATAAAAAAGAATTATGAATAAGTAAATAATTACGTACAAAAATATAAAAATAAATTCATATAAAATAAAACAAAAAATAAAATAAAAAAAATCTAAAAATAATATTTATATAATATATATATATATATAAAAATTTTATCATGAAATTAATTAATATAGAAATAATTAAAAAAAAGTATCGCAACGAAAATATTAAAATTAAAAAGGGAGAAAAAAAAAAAAGAAGCAAATGTATAAATAATATAAAACAAATAAAAAATAAATACTCTAATTAAAAAAAAAATAATAATAAAAATAAGCATTATAAAAAAGCGCACGAATATATAATAATTATAACTATAATAATAAAGAAATGCAATAATAAGTAAGTAATAGAGAATCACAAATAATATCAAATAAAACAATAATGAAGAAAACGAAACAAGCTATATTAAATAAATATACATATAATAACAATAACAATAACAATAACAATAACAATAATAATAATAATAATAATAATAATAATAATAATAATAATAATAATAATAATAATAATAATAATAATAATAATAATAATAAAAATAATAATAACCATTCTCAAGTCCCACAAGCGGTTCGAGTTATCCTTTGAAGCTACTAAAAGTTTGTCGCCTTGCTCGCTCGCCTAATTGGTTCATATTTTTACTTTTATTAATTTTCTTTGGATTTTTTTATATTCATTATTATTATATTTACTAGCATTACTTTTTTTATTAAAATTTTTTTTTTATTTGTTAATATTTATTTATTTCCTGTTCTTTACTATATATGATGTTTAATTATTTATATTTTTAATTGTTATGCTTATTATTCTTTTACTTCTTAACTTTTATATTTATTTTTTTTTTATTTTAATTATATGTCGTTTAATTTATTATTTTTTAATAGTAATTTATATTTATTTTTTATATTTTCTAAATAGTTACTTTTTATTTTATAATAATACTTCATTTTTCTTTTTTTATTTCTTTTTAAACTTTTCTTTATTTATTTACTTTACTTTTTCTTATTATATATTAACTTTGTTTATATTTATTGTTGTTGAATTTTTTTAAAAAAAAATTATTTATAATTAATATATATACCTTAGTTACTTTTTTTTATTTAAAATTATTAAGTATAATAATATTTCCTATACTTTTATTCCGGTTTGCTTATTAAAAATGTAATAGTAAAAAAGTAAATTTTTTATTAAATAAAAATAAAAAAAATAGTATATACGTAAACTTTTCATACATAAAAAATAATTAAAACAAAAAACTATAAAAAATAACGAAAATATAACTATAACCAAATAAATAACGAAAGATATATATTATCAGTTTTTTTATTATCTCTTTATTTTTTATATATTTTCAAATGTCTATGTTTTCACTATTTTTTTGTTTATTTATATTTCTTATAGGATAGTTATCAAACCTCCACACTCGTGACTTCTCCAAAGTGCGTAGTCAGTGACTTCACACAAACGCCTGTTTAAATAGAGATAATAATAATAATAATAAAAGTTTGTCGGCTTTTATTTTCATTATTTTATTTGTTATAAAATATAAAAACCAGAAGAAACGTCCCAAAACTTCACTGTTGTATCTTTTGAGCTGAAAATAATAAAGAGAAGTAAAAATAATTAGGAAAGTATAATAAAATATTAATGATAATAAATAAAAGAATCAGCGATAAAGATAATATTTTGTATAGTAAAAGAAATAATAATAATGATAATACGTAAAAGGGTTAATAATAATTTAAGAAAAGGAATAATAAATTACTTAAAAAAAGTATTAATAAAAAATAAATATAATGACATGTAAATATAAAGAGTAGTGATAAAAGAAGAATCATAATACAAATTATGTTTGTTATAATACATTATAATAATAATAATAATAATAAAGAAAAGCTTTCATTATAATATTTAATGTCATAGTAATAACAGATTTACTAATGATAATAAGAAAAGCATTCATAATATTTTAATAAATAATAATAGTAATACTAATAATAAATTTATTAGAATGGGAATAGTAAAAGTATTCACTCAGAAGAATATTTATATTATAATTACTAGTATTAATAAAGGGAAGTCTTCATTATAGATTAATAAAGGATAATAATAGTATAACTAATAAATTATATATATGTTAAAATAATAATCTTAATAATATTAATTCTAATACTTAATAAAATAATTAATGAATACTAATAATACTAGGAGAACTATCACATTAGTACTTATTTTACTAAATAATAATATAAATAATAAATTTATAAAAATACTAATATAAACAATTACAACAATATTTATTCTAAAAATAATATAATTAATGAAGTTATAATATTAAGAGAAACAAACATAACATTTTTTTAATAAATCACCATAATAGAATTAATGAATTCATAACAATAATAATGAAACCCCGTAATAATAATATTTCCGTAACGATTACACGTGCAACTAGAGACCGAAAGCTCGTGACCCACAAAAGTTTGTAGCAGTTCTTCTCTTTCAATATCAAATATACAAACCTTTTTATCGTAACCGCCACTTATTATATGGCTCTAGTATAATTTTTTAATAGTTATATAAAGTAAGAACCTCTTATATAAAAATTTTGTTATTATTATATATTTTTATATGTATTTATAGTATACAAAACAAAAGAAATATTTATTTCCTCTTGAAAACAACTAATAAACTACACAATAAAAATATTAAAAAAAAGCCTTAAAAAAATAAAGTATTTGTACATTTAATGGTTCATATAATAAAACTAGTAAAACTATAAAGAGTTCTTTATGAAACCTAAAAAACCACGTGCTATACGTGTGCTTGTCTAAAAAATCACGTGAATTAACATTATATTACAACTATTTTATCCTTTCTATCAATATTACTGATTATTGTTACTAACAATTTTTTATTATTAATATTATTATTACTTAATATTTATTTTAATTATTATTATTATATATTAATTAATTAAATGAATATTATTAGTAATACTTGAGCGGAATGCACAAAACAAGTATACACGTCACCCACGTGGCCGCTAAGGGTTGCGATGCTTTCTTCTTTCTCGCTGAAAACACTCCAAAGCTAATAAATATATAAAAATGTAATACAAAAATGCTACAGAAAGTAAATCTTTAATAAATTTTTTAAAGTAAAAATAATAATAATAAAAAGAAACATTATTTTATGCTTTATTATAAAAAGTTAAATAATAAAAAAAGTTCGAGTTATTCTTTTCCATAATAATTTTATTAAAAAAATAAAAACTTTTATAGTTCGATCAGAGGAAGCAGAAACAATAAATGAGCCATTTTTATTAGAGTTCAGGTCCCAAATCTTTTAGTATAATAATAATAAAACATTTATGATTGCAATAATAATAACAATAAATGTATATATACTATTTTAATAGCAATAATATTAAAATAATAATAAGTAAATTTATAACATAATATAATTAATAAATATAAATAATAATAAACCTACATAGTAAATTTATATACTATCTTTTTAAAAGTAATAATATAATAATGAGGGAATGAATAATATAATAAATTAATGAATATTAATAATAATAAAATATACTATTATAAGAGCAATAACAATATAATAATAAGTAAATATATAATAGAATAAAAAAAGATTTATAGTAAATACATAAAGCATAAAAAATAGCAATAATGAAACAATTATAAATATATTATATAATAAGTAGATATTATTAATAATAAATATATATACTAGTTTAATAGTAATAATAGAGTAATAATAATAAGAAAATATATAATATATAGAATTAATATATATACTATTATAATAATAATAACAGTAATAAAAATATATATAATAGCAATAACAGCAATTATGTGTAATGATTATATATAATAAAATCAGTAGCGATAATAATAATATACGAATGCTCTCAATTAAATGGTCACCAAAATCCGCTATTTGGCACAAAATTTTACTCAATTAACAGCAAAATATAAAATAAAGATGCAAAATGATATTATTATTTGCTTTTTTATATATAAAACATACCCTGGAAGTGTGCCCCTTGAAAGTTTTCACCAACTTCCCGTTATCAACACCCCATAAACATATATTTTTATCACTAAGTGATAATAATAATAATAATAATATATAAATACAAAGTAATATTTATACAAAATAAAAAAATTGTTACAAAAAAATATAATGATTATGAAATTTTTTATATATAGATAATGTAATATTAATAAATAAAGATGTATAATAATAATTCTATCGTTATAGCATTTTCTATTTTTTGGTATATAACAATAATTATAATAGCTATTTATATAATAATACCATTTTTAATATGGACATTATATTAAATGAGTATTAAAATACTTAAATAATAATAATAACCTCGAACCGGAAACTATAAATTTTCCTGCCGTTCCTACAAAGTTTAACGATTTTATATTCTCCGAATGACCAGCTAATAAAAACTTGCAGGAATTCGGAATAATAAAAGGATGGAAATCTCCAACAATTCTTTTATTATTATTTAATAATAATAATAATAATAAATTACAAAAAAAATAAAAATAAAAATAAATTTCGCAGTAATCAGGAGATTACTTTTATTTATAGATTTTTTTTATAAATAATAAACAATAAAATAAAGCGGTTTAGTGCTTTTTTTTCTCGTTACTCATTCTACAGGTAATACGATAAGTAATTTTATATTCTACCAAAAAATATTAATTATTAAATTAACTTTTCTATATTTCCTACAAAATAATAAATAATAATAACATTCACTCCTTAAATTATTATAAATTAGCAAAAACCAAATTAATAAAAAGTAAAATAAATTAACTTAACTTTTATTAAAATTAAAATCTAAATTATATAAAACAAGCGTCTAATTTTAATATAAATAAAGTACCATTAAAAAAGTTCTCGAAATTTTTCTTTTCCAATTTTTAAAAAACAATTAAAAATAATTACGAATCAATTTTGGGATCTACTAATGGTTGATAGCGGCTAAACTCTATTTGATAGGCGCACGCATGACGAATAAGAGACTTTAACCGTGAAGCTGGAAGAATTAAATCTGCCCAAAATTTAAATTTATTAGTAAGACTTTTTACTTTAAATAAAGAGAATTAATCCACAAACACTAAATAAATAATACTTTTAAAAACATAAAAAAAAAGAATTTAAACAAAATTTACATAAAATTAATCCAAAAATTTATAATTTATACAAAAAGAAATAAATCTGCAAAATGTCATTAAATTAAAAAAAATGACGTTAAAGAATTTTTATAGATTATAAAACAAAAATTTAAAAAACCGTCCGGATCGAACTCGGGTCGAAATAAATTTTGAAAATGTTCAATAAGTTTTTCTCTAAAAAAAAATTATTTTATTATTAATTACTAAATAAAAACTAAAATTTTATTTTTATTAAATAAAAAAACAAGATTAAAGAACCGTAAAAAATAAATGAATTTATAAAATAATTTGTATAAGTTTTGTTTTAATTAATATTCATTTCAAGAAATTTTTAAAATTTGTATAGATATTTGAAAACATAAAGCTAGAAAATTTAAGTTTAATTGTAGATTTTTTATATATTAAAAAAAAATATGAAAGACAAAAAACACAATAAAAAATAACATTATTCTATATTTTATTTTCTGAAAAGAATAAAAATATTTAATAATTTATAAAAAAATAAAATTTCATTAATATAACTTCAACTAAACCAAAACAGATTTAGTTACTTTTATAAATCGTAAAAAACAATTTATGAAAAACAAAAAATAAATTAAATGTCGCTGTACAATGATTTATCAATTAAAAAAATTAAATTTTATAACTCTTTTAAACTCAACCAAAATTAAAAAGTTGAGATGCAAATAATAAATTATTAAAGTCACTACTATAATTTATTTTTTTAAAAAAAATTACATTGATTTAATATTTTTTTAACAAATTAAATTTTTATAAAATTAAAGATCAAGAAATTAAAACAGAATTAGTTATTCGCTTGATAGTAAAAATCAATTAATGAAAAACATAAAATTGATTTAATAAAAGTAACTTAATGATTTTTTATTAAAAATTAAATTAAAATTAATTTATTATTTATTGAAGAGCAACCATATTTAAAATAAATTAGTTACTTTAATCAATGGTTTAAAAAGGACGAAAATAATAAAGTAATAAACTTTATTTTATAGTAATTTTAGTTTTTTATTAATAAAAAGTTTGATATTTATTTTTTAAATCAACTAAACTAAAATTTACTATATAAACTTTACTAATAATATTTTTCTTTAATAAAACAAATCTATTATTTTTATTTAAAGTAATCTAAATAATAATTAAATTACATGTATAAGTACACTTCAAATAAATAAAGACAACCAAAAATTTTTTTTTTAAATATTTTTAAAAAGAATAATAAAATTTCTAAACTACAGTTTATACAAAAATATACTAAATTTCACTTTATTATAATTAAATTTTTAATAAAAAAAAAGTAGTAATTTATTATATTTATATTTATGAAAAATTTTCGTTTAATTCTTATAAAAAATTTTATTAAAATAAACGTTAAAAACAAAAAAGATCAACTATTGTTTACTTTTAATTCTTGTTTTAAGTAAATATTCTTCATAATTAAAAATAAAATTAATTACAAAAAATATTATTTATTACATTTTATTAAGAAACAACTAAATATTACTTAATAGTAAATTCGAACAAACATAAATAAGTTCCTTGTTTAAAAAAATATATAAAAACCAAAAAAGTATTCCTTTTTGATTTATATTTTAATATAACTTTTTTAATCTTTATAATATTTATAAAAAAGTTTGTAGTTTTCATAAACTCTTATTAATATTTAAAATCCTTTGTACTTCAGATTATTTTTTCAAATGTTTATATATAATTTTCTTAGATAAAGTTTTTTTTTAGTTTTTATTCATATTTTTTATAAATTAATCTTTGAATTAGAAAAACATTTGGATAGTTATTAATTTTTATAATTTAATTTTTATAATCTTTTATTATTTTTCAACTATAAAAATATTTTTATATATTTTAATATTTACAATAATGCTTATTTATAATTTTTTGGAATAAAGTTGTTTAAGACTTAATATAAATTAGTCTTTTTTTAAAAAAAACAATATTGATAGCTTTTAAGTTAGTTAATAATTTATTTTTTTTATTAACTTATTAAAAAATTGTTAAAATTATAAAATATTTACAAAAATATTTATTTTTTATCTTTTTGGAAAACAAGTTTTTATAAATTAATCTTTTTTATTAGAAAAACAATTTTAAACGTTATTAATTTATAAAATGACTGTTTTTATAGACTTTTAATATTACTTCTTTTTTATAAGTAGTTTTATATTTAATTATATTTACAAGAAAGATTTATTGTTTTTTAAATAAAATTTTTCGTTGAATTTTTGATTAACCTTTTATAAGAAAAACCAGTTTAATCTTTAATTCTTAAAAAAAAATTGTTTTCATAAAAATTTATTATTTATATTTTATACATATTTTATTATTGTCTCATATTGAAAAAAATATTTATTTCATTATTTTTTATATAAAGTTTTAGTTTTATTTTAATCTTTTCGTTAAAAGAGCATTATTAACCATTATTAATTTTTATGATAATTTAGTATTTACAAACTTTTATTATTTATATTTAAAAATATTTTTATATTTACAAGAATATTTATTTCTTATCATTTACATAAAGTTTGGTTTAAGTTTGATATTTTAATTTTTTTTATTAAAATAAACTTTAATACAAGTTGTTTTAATTATTTTTATGTTATAAAGGTACATTTATTTTATTTTATATCTTAAAACCTTGAAGCGGCTACTCCTTCCCAATTTTTAAACAACATGCAATCTTGAAAAGAATTTACGGTAAGCGCATAACAAAGTTCCTTAAATTCTCCTGGGGCAGCCCATCTTTCTAAAGGCTTTATTTTTCGAGTTAAATGGTTAAAAGCCTAAAAAAAAGGAATTATAAAGTTTTATTTATAATCTTAAATTATAAATTTCTTTTAGTTAATACTTTTTGAAATTCGTTGCGTTCAAGCTGTTCTACGAATTGTTGCTTATAAACGGCATACATAAAGTGTTTATTATTCTTAAATGCCTGATTGAGAAAAAGCTTCTCAACTTCAGGCCAATCACCAACTCCATCAATACGTCAATTTCAATACAATTTTAAACAATCTAAAAAACTATACCCAAGATGGACTTTTTCATTTTATTGATTAAAATCTTCTGCTGCTTTCGTTCTGTGGACTTAAAACCCGCTTCATCGTATAAAACTTTATAAAATCTACATATACAAAATATCCGATGTTTTTTTATTAATAGTAGTACCGGTCTTTGAGTGTATATAACCTTCTTCTTCCAGATATTGTAAAATAATTTTTATCACATCCTAAATAATAAGCTTAAAAACAACAAAGCAAGAATAACTATTGTAAATTACTTTTTTTATCTGTGGAGCATCAAAGTCGACCAAAGATTCAATATTCTCGATATTTTTAGTTTTTAGCTCAAAATGTTTCAAGTTTCTTGCAACCATAAAATAAAAAAAAGTTTGTAGGCAAATTAACAAACTTTTCTATGAAACTTTTACGTTGGAGTGTTGTTATCCATAAAAATAATCTAATGCAAACTTGATGGCAGCGCAAGCGCTCAAGAGGTGTAAGTAACATATAATTCGTCTACAACTTCGCTTAACTCCGAGTTTTTCTACCAAAAACAAAGGCTCTTCGTACTTTCCGCTGGTTACGAGAATAACGAGGTTTTTGCTTGTGGTTCTTAGCGCTTTTTATTTTTGTTATTTGGAAAACCTCAACGCTGTGTGGGTCGAAGTGTAATATAGCTGTGTAGCAATTATTGAACATTGCTAACTATTATTTTTATTAATTTTATAAAAATTGTAATACTGGCGGTTTATAATGTTAATTCTGCCAGATGGGTATTGTTAATTTCATTCTTTTGAATATAAGCTTCTAGACATGTTTTTTACTTGTTATACATGCCGTATAGTAAGCTTAAGAGTGGATAAGTAATTTTTTATTTTGCATAAAGCAACTGTTTATTTTACTGATAAGATTTTAGCTAGATAAAATCATAGTATATTAAAAGTTTGTCAGACTGTTAACTTCTAAAAAAAGTGGTTTTTACTTTGATACAAAGAATTTTTGTATGCATTTGCACTTTCAAGGTTAAAAGTTCTTTGTCTTAATCCCAATCATAATCAAAGAAAAAGTTGTACGTTTTGTTGAATTTGGGTTAACGTATAAAACTATTTTCACAGTCCTTTGGATACAAAAATATAAAAGGACTATTATAAATACCGCACAAAGTTCGGAACGGCTTATTAATGCATATAAAATCAATTATTTTATTGGTGTACTTGTGCTAAGTGTCTAAATTTCACTCAATCTAACCTTAAACTTATTTTGAAGCCAGTAATAAAATCTGATGAGTTTGCTTTGCTTTGTAATTCATTTTAAAATAATAACACTCCGACAAGCAAGATTAAAATATATTAATTGTTTTAACGAAGGCAACTTTAGTAAAACACGGATGATAAATCAATCTTGAAGACGAGGTGAAAAGCTTTTCTGAAATACCACTTTCAAAGTTAATTAGGAGCCACGAAAAATAGCTGTATAAATTATTTTATGCTTTACCAATAACAATGTAGTTTATAAAGAATTCAAGGTTAGCACTGCCGTAAATCTCAAGTATAGTGACTTTTTGAAACTTAATGGCCTTTTTAAAAATAATACACGACTTGCCATAAAAATTTATAAGCATTGTACTGATAAAAAAGACTTGAATAATAACGTAGTAAGCCTATTTTGGAAGTAAATTAACACAGTTATAAGTTTCTAAAGAATTAGAAGATTTGAGGCGGCGTAACTACGAACACCGAAAAATAAAGATAAAATATATTCTTTAGTAATTTAATATAATGACTGTAGTTTCTCCCGTTCTATATTTACAGTAGGAATAATTTCTGCACGTTTTGTGCAAAAGATGTCGACTTAAAAAAAATTAAAGTCACGTAGCTCATTCCAAGTTGAGTGGTACATTAAGAAGTGTAGAATTTGTAAAACTAAATGCAAGTTTTTATCGCAGGCATTTGATGCAAGTTTCATGGAAAAAAGGTCTGCTTGAAAAAAGCATAAAATCGCGCAGCTCAATACAAGTTAAATTGTAGAACGGGCGGTGTAGCTTTAATAAACCTTATTTAAAGTTTTTATCGTACAGAAATCAGTTTTACTTATGACCCACTTTGTAGACACGACAACGCATAAGGTCTAGTAAATACATATAATAACAAAAGACACAAAAAATTAACTGTCTTTAAAAATTTGTTTAACGATTTAAAATTGAAAACGGTGCACATATCAGAAAGGGTGTTCCTAAAAATGGTTGCTAACAGAGAGGAAAAATTAAAAAAATCCAAATAAAAACGAATAAGATTTTAACTTTGCCATCAGAAAAAATGTTTAACTAATACAATGTAGAGTAATTAAAATTTCTCCAATATCAAAGATGTAATTCAAAATTATTATAGGGAACAAAATTTGTTATACAATTTTTCAAAAAAATATGCAATTTTATACTATCTTGACTGTAGATGTAATATGTTAAATCATAACTATAACAGCAACAGTGCTGATAACATACTTTTACTTGGTGTCTTAAACTAAATAATACCTATAAAATTCTAACAATTAAAAAACTTTAACCTGAGAAATTAGAGAAAGTAACTACAAAGGTAAATTGTAATCTTCATGGATGGAAAATAAATCAATTTGGCGAAAAATTTTACCTTCTCATTCTCCCACTGTTCAATTTTTTGATATTGTCACCTATTGCCCTTCTATTTTTTAAAAAATTTTAATTAATATTTACTTAATCTTTTAATAAAAAATTGATAAAAAGGGGTGGCCTTGTTAAACGTCTTGTTATTACTACTGTGGACTTAGATAGACGTTTATCTATAAAATATTAAATAATAAAGTGTTTAACAAATATTTAATTATAACCACATAACGGGCAAAAACCATTCATTTATTTTTGACGCAATTAAAACTGTAACTGCGTCTAACATGCTTTAAAAAAAAATGCCCAAGCCAGCTTTGCGCGATCTACGAGTCCAAGAAGCAATTATAAGTACTGTTTTCTTTTCTATTCCCGAATTATATTCTTTTTGTAAGTGCTTAAGTTTGCCTGTAAACTGCACCTTGAGACGAAAAAAAATCTACAATATCAAAATAGTTCGCGCATATGCTATCAAACATAACTATGCCTTAATTTTTTTTAAAAAAAATACTAAAAAAAAAATACTCAATATCTTTTAGGTTTGGCTGGGTGAATGTATTTTTACCCCATCCTTCGATACGGGACGGTAACATTAAAAATTATTTGTAAATCATGTTAACATAAATTATTAACAGGGCTAAAGAAAGTAATATTTGTAAAGATAAATATAAGTCACGTTTGTATTGCAGAAGAATTTAGTTTAGTCTATAGCACGTGAATCTATATCAAATTAGGCAAAAACTTTTATAAAATTGAATATAAAGATAAAAAAACTAAGAATAATATAGGTTACTGGCCTTTAAGAATAGGGATCGTTTTTTCAAACACTTCAAATAAGAGATAGTTCAAAGATATTAATATTAAAACAAAACTGTTAAAGCATTATAAAAATTTATAATTATGTGTAATAAGGAGGGGGAAAATGTCTATGTTTTTATTTTTTTTCCAAAATCTAACTTCACCTAGTTCTACTATAAAAAATATTCTTGTTTTAAAATTTTACAGCAGAAAGGCTAAAGAGATTTTGTGTACGTTTTTAATCTTTTAAAGAGCAAAAATTTAGGACTTAAAATAGATTTGTTTTACGTCCACTGGTAACTTAATAAACAATTTACCATGTTTTTTGGTTGCAGTCTATCCGTTAAAACACGGTATTCAAACTTACCGCAGATTGTTTCAGAGACCAAGTCTGTTGTTTAGAGTAAATCTCCATAAGCCTATTCTTGCAAAATGAACCTAGACGACAAGCGGTAAAAATAGTAACCAGTTAAAACTTTAAGGTTGTAACAAGAAACAACTAACAACAAAACAAAACATGATAACTACACAATAAATTACTAATCAAATAACACTACATCAAAGAGTTAATAGAACCATGACTACCATAAACGAAAAAATAGACAAAATTACTTAAATTTATATTACAAAAGAGGACAAGAAATGTTACAGATTAACAGACATAAGCGAAGGACAACCAAAACCACCAATATTACAAAATTAAAGAACCAAGCAACACCCTCAACTACCGAATTTTTGAAAGATAAATAATCCGTTAATAAACCAATAGGCTTTAATAAAAAAGCAAAAGGGGAAAAATTATTTTTAAAAATAATTTATGCCATCTGTGGGTAGTACAGTATATAATAACTGTAGAGCCTCCATCAGTGAGGTGGAAGTAGAAAGAAGCAGAAACAAGTGTATTAAATCGCTTAACCTACACCCGTTTAACAAAGTGGGGTAGAAGGTGCGGTTATAAGCATTTATACACTAATTTTGAAAAGCATTAAAATTTGTCATTTGATTTTTATAATAACCGCTTTTGGGTATAATTACCACGAGATATGCGTAAATCCCTCAAGACGCGCCTGCGTCTTGCACTTCTACACAAACACGTACAATAACTTTATTTCCTTTTTTATTTGAATACAAATCAAAAGGAAAATATTCTAATAATTAATTTGGTAAAAATTAAATTAATGTTTTCCTTTGTACAAATACGGTAAGAAAACTGAGCAATGAAGTGTGTTTGTTTTAGCAAACCTTTATTTTCCTTGTTAGGTTGTCTTTTTTAAAATTGACCGCAAGTTTACTTTTATGGCTATTACAAGGTTTTATATTTTAGTCCAGCGTGATATTTACAAAAACCTATAATTGCATTTACTTAACGATAACTGCAACCTGTTAGGTAATCATACTTGGTCCAAGCCTCGCAAGATAACTTCTATTAACAAATAAAAAGCTTATCAAGCCTTCTCCTCATTATCTGCTAAGAATTTTGAAAAATGCCATTTTCCGTGAAAGAACGTATTAAAAAGTTATTATTTGTTTTTAAGAGTATAATATTGACTAAAAACATATATTACATTTATTTTTATCAAATTCATTCCTTTTTTAAACGGTTAAAATAAAACTTGTTGTCTTTAATTCTGTTTTTATATATTTTCTTGCTGAGCCCATTTTGAAGAAGATTAAAATTTAATAGCGTTTAATTTAAGCCACTGACAATTTCGTTAATTTTTAGAATTCAAGGAAGCTCCAGAAACCTGGGACATTAATATATGTGAGACTTGTTACAAAACTCCGAAAAACTTCTTTTGGGCTTTTTTTTGTCCTCCATGTGCCCAGTTTTATCAAAGAAAAAGAATACTTGGTAACTTTTTTATGGATTAATTTAAGTACCACGCTGACTACAAAAACTTTTTATAAAAAGGAGGCGACCTTGAGCGATACACCTGCTGTGGAGGCGAAATTTGTGCACCCTGCATTTCTTGGACTGGTTTATATAAATTTTAAAACTGCAAATTTTTTTGATTCAAATTTTTTTTAAAAAAATTATAGATGGTTTGGTGAAAAAAGCACCAGAATGTTGCTTGTGCACGGAAATATTGTGCTGTTTTTATTGCTCTGTTGGAGCCAGTAGGATAATGCTGCAGAGAAAGTTCCATATAAGGGTACTTGCACAAGTCCGGCTTGCTTTTAAAACGTTATGCAAATAAATTTTTTTTCTTAGTGTTTGAGTTTTTTAAATTGTTTAATTAACTTTTTAAAATTTTTAAATTATCATATTTATCTTTAAAAACAGAACACGAAATTTGAAGATTTTTTATTGATACTGGCCTTCATTCTTTCTTATGTAGTTATGATTCTAAGCATCTTCTTTCCGATTCCAAGAGAAGTATATAAATTATTATTTTTTAGTTGAGAATTTCAGAACTCTAAGGATTATAAAATATATATATATAACTTTATTAATTAGTAAACTTACCAGTTTTTTTAATAAAATTTAACCATAATTTTAAGGTTGACTGCCTCATTGATTGCTTTTACTGCTGCCTATTTTCGTGCTTTCAATCGCAACAAGAACATGAGCTTGACGTGAGAGAAGATCGTCAAAAGAGTTTTAAGCATAAAGAAGCTAATTCAGGAATTGAACAAGTTTAAAAGAAAATTTTAATATAAATAAAATTGTTTAGAATGGTGTAATTTACTTTTCATTAATAGAAATTTTGAAGAGCTCTTTAAATTATTAGAACAAAAGTTATATATTTATAATAAACTTAAATTAAGTAATTGTATTCTTTTTTTAGAAGTAAAGATTTATTGTAAAACCTTTAAAAATTTTAAGCGTTACGCTGCTCTTCCAGAAACTGAACAAGCTTAAAAGAAAAATTATAATTAATGTAATATATTTTTATACTATGATAAAGTTCTTATTAATATATCCTAGCTAAGAGTTTCCAGCATAACAACTATGCTGTCCGCTTTAATTTTACTATCAGAATAATTTTAATTTTTCAAAAATAAAGATTTAAAATATACCTTAACTAAGAGTTTTTAGCGTAGCGAAGTTTTAAAAATTGTTTAAATTAAAATAAAATTTACTAAACTGTAAACGCTGGGGGGTATGTAAATTTTTTTATTCTGCAGAAGCTTTTTTAAAATCACTTAATAGTAAAAGCTTTTATCTTATTTTAGGTCGACGATTTTAATCTTAAGTAGCGGGTAATAAATTCAACGTTACAAGAATTTATAGCGCTTTTGACTGTACTTATATGATGGTGATAATAATTTTTTTTTCACATCCATATCGTTTATTCTATTATTTATTGTACGTCAAGTGAAGTTAGTTAGTTTAATAGATATCTTTGTTGTGAGCTTGTTTATTTTGCAACGTACTACAGTGATAGTACAGCGCTATTAGATTTTTTTAAAATGTGCCCTTGCTTATTTGAGACCTTTATCAGTCTAGAAAACTCAAAGTCTTTTGCATAAAATCACAGTTTTGAAATTTTAATATTACTAACATGACTTAGATCTTCTAAAGTACGTCCTAAATTTTTGCCATAACAAATTGAAGCCTGTTCAACTTTGCGAAACACAAGGACTTTTTATCTTCTAGAATTGTAGTTCAGAGTTTTAAAATCTTTTTTATTATAAAAAATTTTAAGTAAAAAATGAAGTTTAATAATACTTGGTCTATTGTAAACTTAAACTATTCAGCTCTTTTTTCATAAATTAAGCAGAAGGACAGAAGTTCAGTAGGCATATAACATATGTTATTTCTATAACGGAATTATTCTGTACAAAACAGTAAATCCATATGTTTTATATTTGAAAGAAGCTAGGTCTATAAATAGGTAGAGTTGTGCTCCTCGATTAGATCGCTCCTAACTGTCTGACAAAGATCTCCAGAGTATGACAAGCTGAAGGCATTCAGTGTATAAATAATTAAAATTTAAATAAAAAATATAATAATCTCCAATTCAAAGAAACTTCACAACACACCACATGAAATAAGGATAGGTTGCACATCTATTATTCTTCGGATCTATAAGTTTTGTAGTTTGTAAATTTATAAAAATTTTGAAATAAATTATCAGTCTTTTAGATATATTACTGGACTACAATATATAATTACTTATTCCCTAAAAAAAAATTAAGGCTACAAAATCAATAACAGGTAAAGTTTTGCATTTAAATTTGAAGACTTTATCTAGTAGTTATTTAAAAGTTTAAGCGTTTCTTCATCTTGAGTTATTCTTAGCTTAGTAAGTTCAGTTAAAAAGAAGACCAAATTGTATATTAAAAAGAGAACTTCACTCCTATTTATTTACCTTTCTAAGTTAATAACGAAAGCACTCATTTATTTAAGTAAGGTTTTGTAAATAATCACAATACATTCTAAATTAAGCAGAAACTGTTAAGGAGAGAAAAACCATTTGCTGCTATTGGTTTATAAAGTGCTAAAAAACTATAACTATTTTTATAAACAATATATTTTAACTCGTTTCGTTTTTTTTTTCTACCTATACAATAAAATATTAGAAGTTCCGAGGGGTGAAATTATAATAAAATTAAGTCTTGATTATATAATTGGTTTCAATACTGGTGGAATTAATAGTTCTTTGAGAAAAGGTAGAGAATTTTTTTTTTGATGATTCCAGTTAAGGAGTTTTTAATAAACTTTAAGCAAAATTACACTACACGAATAACCAAATTATATTGTAAGTAGGCCTTTTTAAGTATATTAAAAAACAAGCAAAAAAATGCTTAAAAAAAATTAGTTTAATAAATTAATTTTTCATATTTTTTAAAATTTTAAATAAAAAGAGCAATAGACAAAGTTATGCAGTCAATACCAAGAAAAAAAAAGCAATTCTACTAGTTTTCCTTGATAAATTTACATTTATAAATAATTCATCCTCTAATTAGTATGAATCTATAAACTAATAAAGTAAAAAGTATAAAATAAAAATTAAAAAAATCTAAAATTCCTTTTCTTTCTAGTTTAAATGTTGTATATTAAAAAACAATTAAATTTGTAACAATTAAGAAAATCACTAAGAAAGCTAAATGGCGAACCGCACTTTTATCTTGAATAGCATTAATGCGAAGGTTCTTATAAAAAAACCAAATTAGTGGGGAAAATTTACTTCAAATATTGTAATAATAATTATAATGATTTTTATTACTATAAATTTTTCTAAGTAAAATAAATATAACAAGTTTAATTTTTGAAAAGTAAAATAAAGAAAAATTATATTAATAAAACATTTTTATAAGTATAAGTATTATATATTTTAAAAAGCTTAAAAAATAAGTCCTAAAGTAAATAAGTGGCAACAAATTAAATTATAAAAGGAATAAATTTAAAGATTAATTTATATTACTTTTAACACCTTTAAAAAGCTTAAAAAAAATAAATTTGTCAGGAAAATTCATTATAGAAAATCGAATAGAAAAGTAGCAATACTTGAAGCTTATTAAACAGATTTGGTAATTTAGTAAAAGCAAATTTATAATTAAAAACAGTAATGAATGATTAAAAGATATTCACTTTTATTACTTTATATTTTCTAAAAAGCCCAAAAAATAAATGAGAAAATATAGCAAAATTACTTTTTTATAATAAAGTAGTAATTAAAGTAAATCAATTTTAAAGAGCTTGGGAAAATTAGTTACCACAACTTTCCTTTTTAGTGAAATAAAAGAAAATAGATTACTATTTACTTTATAAACTTAAAAAGTAGAATAAAAATCCTAGAAATGATAATAAAATTTACAGTATAGAAATTTTTTATTGAAGTGAAACTGATCATCCAACAAGTTTTAAAAATTAATGCAAATTTTGTTTCAAAAACTGCATTCATCAAATTATTTATGATAAAAGAAAATGAATTACTTGAAAACCACAGCAGACCTAAATAATAATACTTTTACAATAAAATATTATAAAAAAAATAACGTTATAATCTAAAATATATTATAAATAAATCAAAACGAATTTAATTTCAAAATTATATATAATAATTATTATAAACGGATTGCGCTTCAAGTAAGCCAAATAGAACTGTCTTGAGCTCATCGGCGGGCGGCCATCCGGAATGATGATGTACTTGAAAGGAACCCATCCATCCTTACAGCGCACACAAATCATTTTATGATAGTAAACAACTTGGCCAGGAACAACTTTAGAGCTCTATTATTACTATAATTACTTCTTAATTTATAACTAAAATTAAAAATATCAACGTTTAATAGTAATAAAAATTTCATATCTCAATTAAATTTTTTATAAAAAAAAGTAAAATTAAAAATTTGGATTAAAATTAAGAGAAATTCTTTACTAACGAAAGCAAAACGATAAATACTATTATAAGTTAACATTACTTTACTATTTGCCTTCACATTATAATAAAATTATAATATAAAATCAAGTACAGTATTAACGTGTTGCAAAGGAGCGCCCATCTCTACTAATTTTATATTTTCCCCATTAAATTCAGTATGAAGGCGGATCTATTTTATAAAAAAACAATGATAAAAATAAATTAAAATAATAAAAAATTATAAAGTAAAAACTTTTATATAAAATTAAAATTTAATGATTTTAGTAAGATAATAGACAGAAAAAAATCTATTTTAAAGGTAATTAATTAAATTATTTAATTAATAAAGAAAATTGAGAAATTCAGATGTATTTTTAAAGTATAACAAAAAAAAAATTTCGTTGGGACATTAAATAATTAAAAACAGCAGATCAACTTTTCAAGAAAATTAAATCTATTTTATTTTTTATATAAATAGAAAAGACTTTATATTTAAATCTATTATTACTAAAAAAAAATTTAAAAAGTACATTCAATTATATATGTAAACTTTTGAAAGATTTACTTTTATATATAATAAACAATAAAACTAAAAAAGTAAAATAGAAATCTACTTTGTGCGTCAAAGCTCTGTACTTTCTGTCGATGATGGCACAAGAATCAATAATCCAATTAACTTTAGCATCCGATTTAGTAATCTTTCTAGCGTAGACAATGTTATTATCGTCTGTTTGCTCCTAATTTTTTTAACATGAAAGTAGTCTAAAAAATTTTAATTTTCGAACAATTTTGTATAACAATTTTAAGAAAAAATAATAACTTCTGCGTTCAGTACGTGATCCTTAACGTTGCGAAGCACGCGGCCAAGAACTGTTTTATTAAAGCAGTAAAAAATAAAATTCAGGTTCTATAAAAAAATTAGTAACGAAAAAAAAAAGTTGACTAGAAACTACTATAAATAACATCAAAAGAAAATTAAATTAATTTCGACTTGCAAATATTATTAATAAACCTAAACTTCCAAGTGTAGCGAGTTTGTCGTGCAGTTGTTGATAATTTTCAGTACCCGCAACTTTTAGAAAATAATAAAAATAAAAGGATACTTCATGATGAAAGTTAATTTATAGGATGAAAGTTTATTACTGCTTTATACAAATGAAATGAAAAGGCAAAAAGTTAGTTTATTGAAAAAAATAACTAATAGGAAGGTGCCCAAAAAAATTAAAATAAAAAACTAAATTTATTATAAAATCTGACTCAAAAGAATTGACGTTTAAAAAAAGTAATAATAAGTTAAGTTGAAAAAATATTTAATAAATTTAGAAAAATTAAAATCTACTGCAAGTAATATAAATTAAAGAGCGATACCTATTTTGAAATGTAATTAACCAAAAAAAAACTTCAAAATTAAAGTTTGCTTAATTTAAATAATAATTTAACATTAATAAAAAATAGAAATTATAATAAATTTTGTAAATAAGAAAAATCAGATTTATGAATTTTAAAAATCATTGAAATGAAATTTTTACTTAAAACTTTTTCCTGCAACAAAATTTTTCCGGTGTCCATCTTCCCTTTAGATAACTCCACTACACTAACTCCAGTACGCTTGTCTCCGCTATTATAGTTTTAAACAAAAAGTAAAGCTCAATTCCTATCAATATTACAGTATTAAAATTTAAGATGAAAAAAATTTTATAGGATATTGATAAAAAGTTGAATTTTCATTAAAAAAATAGAGATTTTATCCATAAGTATATTATGATATCGAAATTTAATATAAAAAAATTTGTAGTATATAAATTAAAAGTTAAATTTTTTATTATTAAAAAATTATATAAATAAAAGTATTTCAATATCAAAAGTTAAAATAAAAGCAAGTTATAGTATTTTTTTTAAAAGTTTAGTTATTTTAATAGAATAGAAAAATCATACATAAAAATATTGCAATATAATTTAAGATTAAGAAAATGTATTTTGTATTAACTAAAACTAACTTCTTTAATTTAGAATAAAAAATCATATAGCAAAAAATATTAGAATCTTGAGTTTTGACAATAAAGTTTATAGTATTTTAATTAAGAACAAATTTTTTCCAAAGAAATATAAAAAATATTATATAGTAATTTAAAAGTGTGTATATCTTATAAAGTTAAACCTTCCCGATTAGAATTAAGAAAAAACTAAGTTATACTTTAAATTAGACGAATGAAGATAAGATACGATATAATAGTTAAAGCTGCCATAAAATTTATATAAAAATTATACCAGTAAAAGTATAGTTTTCCCTTAAAATATAATTATTAAAAAAGAGAAATTAAGTTTACAAATAAAGTTTCACTTAATTAAACAGTAAATTTCTAAAAAGATTACGTAAGACTTTAAATTATAAGTAGATTAATATAAGTTTAATTTTATAATTAAATAATGAAAAATAAGAAATATTAATAAATTTACGGCAGAAGAAAGTAAAGATTCACCTTAAAATTAAAAATTAAAAATAGGAAAATTTAAATTAATAATACTGTAAGTATATAAAGATAAAATATTGTAATAACGTTTTACTTTTAAGGAAGAATTAATACGTAGATTTTAAATAGTTTTTCGCGCTGTAACTTATAAAATAGGATTAAAGGTAAAGTTTTATCTCAATACAAAATAGTTAAAAAAAAGGAAAAACTGATTAAGTTTATAAATTCCAGAATATAAATAAAGTTTTATTAAAAAAAATAATATAAATAAAAAACCGCTTTTAAATTATTAAGCCTGTAAATTATAAAATTTAGATTTATATAAGCCAAGTTTTATTTTATAAACAAATAATTATCAAAAGGAAACTTTTCATAAGCTTATAATACTTTACATAGTAAGTAAAGTTTGAATCGATAAAAAGTTTAATTTTAAAAAAGAATAAAAAAAATAGAGTTCTAATTAGTTTTAAAATATAAATATTAGGTTAAAGAAAGTATAAGTTGTACTTTAATATAGAATAATAGATGGGGGAAGATCCTCGATATTGAGGTAAGACCGAAGGATGTACGTTTAACGCTAACCGAGCGGAATCAATAATACCAGCGGGAATGTAATGACCAAAAGAAACAACAATAATAAGATCATAAGAATAGTGGTAAGATGAAGAATTTAAAGAATCCCGAAATTTGCTGTATAAATCAATAATATTATAACAATTCTTATTTTTTTTTACGCATTCGTCTGATTGATTCCTTAAACTAAAATTTATTAAATTTTCTTCTTGTTTAATTGTATGGTTGGAATTTTTATCAGTATAGGTTTGAGTGTAAGAATCCTTAAAGTGAGAATCGCCGTAATCAGATGAATTAGACATGCACTGCTTAAAACCATCTTTGGGTACTTCAAAAACTTTAAGATTTTCTTCTCTGGTGTTTTTTTTAAATAGAAAATATTAAGTTATTCAAAAAAATTGATTTACGAACAGTGCAAGTTCTTTTACGGGCTGTCTGCCTTCAGTATTTTTTTTTAAATGAGGATTATCAGTAAGGCTACTAGGTTAAAAAATTAAATATAGTAAAGATATAATTGTTAATAAATATATTAAAGCCCGACCAAACGACGTCAATATTGCTAACAATCCTTTTCTTTCCTTTTAAATCATTTATTAGGTATTTTAAACAAGCGGATGCATACGCGTCAGTGCCGAAAAATAGAATATTATACGGAGGGGATATATCCTTAAAATTATTAACTATTATCATAAAAATAGTTATAAAAAAAAATATAGCGTAATAAAAGTAGAACTGATTTTTTCTTTCCAAGCTTGAAGAGTTTTAAGACGAGAGCTGTCTATGAAACTTGTGGAAGTGCTATAATAAATTAGCCTAAAAAAATTCTGAAAAAGAAATTTTTTTAATTAATATGAAAGGGTTAAAAATATTATTCAATAAACTTACAGTTTTCGAATTGAAAAATAAAAGTTTTAACTTAGAAGCAGAATAATAATTCTTATATTGCATGAAGAAAAGACGCTTCAACTTAGGCTCAGCTTTAATTTACACTACATAAAAGTCAGTTGCTAAAACTCTCGTACTTCAATGTCGCTCCCCTTCCTCTAGCCAAGGAAGTATATACCCTTTAGCGGTATTAGAAGGAGCTGTTAAAATTGTTCACTGACTCACAGTAGATACATATAGTGCGCGTTTAGCAAAATATATAAAAAAAAATTACATGAAATTTTACTACTTAAAGTCTTTAGTCCCCTAAATTCCTTTAACTTTATTATTATCTAAAGCAAGAATTTTTGGTTACTCTTTTTTCTGTTATTGATATATATTAATATATTAATAGTGATGCTGTTTTTTTTATTTTAAACTAATTATACTTAGAGGCTTCTAAGCTGAATTTTATACAACTAGTATATTTACAAAATTATTGCCAACCGCGGTACGTCCGAGTTTTTAGAATAACAATAAACAAAAGTAACTATTATCTTTTTAAAATATATAAACTAAATCTTTGCAAGAGCCCAAGTTTCGGTGTCAGTTTTCTTCAATAATTTTTATTGAAATAAAGAAGCTCGCCTTAGCCTTATTATTTATTTCAAAAGATATATTCGTTTAAGTTACTGTTGAAAGTAGTTTATTTTAAAATCAATTTTATTATATAAATAAGGATAATGAAAACTTCGTAAGAGAAATCTAAAACTGTGACGCACGGGATATCACGTACAATTGAGAGCGTGAAAGCAAACAATTTAATTCAGCCCAGTTTAAATTGTCTTTTAAATAATTAGCAGGAAAAAGGCTTTTATAACTTTCAGTTTGGGCTTAACACATTTAATATGTGAAACTGCATAAACGTTAAATAACTTAATAACTATTTTTAACTCGTTTTTTAGACCCTAAACTTGAAAACTAAGGTAAAAAAAAAAATCTGCAAAAAAGAAATGCAGAATCTTTTTAACTGATTCGAAATAAATTTATGAATTTTTAACGATAAAAGGAATTCTCGATAAATAAGCAACGGGTCTTTCGATTGCAAAAAGGTTGTAATGCTGCTTTCCGTACTAACAATTTAATTAAACTCTTAATAGGTTAGACTTATTTAATTATTACTGAAAAACTAGAGTCAATATGCGTAGCATACCTTCACCGCTCAAACTTTATTCCCCTTTTAAAATAAGAGGTAAAGTAGAAAGCAGGTTCTCTTAAAGGTCTTGATGTTTACAGTTTGCGAATATACCTTTGGGAAGTCATACAAAGGAAATTATACCAAATAAGAGCAAAGAATAAACTATAGTATAAAAAAAAAAGTCCTCTTTCATTAGTTTGGAGCTTCTCAGCTCGTTTAAATATACTATTATGAGTCATCTTGCTATATAATAAAATTTTTATGACATTTAAAGTCAAACTTTTGTGGCAGTCTTCAATTTCTAATAAATATATGAAAGATTACATTCGATATTTGGAAAAAAGCACTCGCGAAGTCACCTTACTAGCACTTTATATAAATGTCTGCACCTCTCATACTAGAAATTCTATGTGATCACTTTTGGTTTTAAATTTCCCTTTACCTCGAATACGTAGAAAGCACAAGACACTGTTTTCCAAACTGAAAGTAAATTTTCCGGCCCTCCGATAAGTCTAATGGTTTTTAGAGATGTAGGCTTGTTAACATGTCGCTTAAAAAGTCTCAGGACTAACTATATAAATATATATAACTAATTCACCATAGTATCCTTCATAAGCGAGACCATCAGTCCAACGCTTTTCTAGCAATTCTACACCTTTTTTATGGAACGAATTCTCTTTGCCTTCAAATAGGACTCTATTTCGGCGATTAGTTCTTGTTTCATTAGTCCTCCAACTTACTAATATTTTACATATATTTCTTTTTTCTATGTAATAATAGTTTTCAAAGTTAGCAGCTCTGCAAAATCTATACTTTTGGAATAAACCAACTAACTTCACCTAATATAGACACATATGTTCTTAAAAATAACAAACTGATAAGAATAGGGTGTACTCTAATTACCTAGTAGTTATGGTTAACATCGATCTGTTACTATTACTTTATTAATTTCTATAAATATAGACGTTTAATTAAAAAATAAATTTTAAAGTTAAAAAAAAAAAATATATGATCGGAGTTTAGAAACAAAAGTAAAAAAAATTATAAGAAAAAAAGATTTAAAAAAAAAAAAAGCGTACGGGAAAAGCTGCAATAACAAAAGTGAAGGGAAGCAAAAAAATATATAATACGCAAAAGTTAATCTATAATTTAAACTAACACATATCTACCTTATAAGTTTTTTAGTTATTAACCACGGCACAAAAGTAGTTTTAGCAAATGAATTTTGCTGTTGAAAATAAAATGGAGGAAGCAAACTAACCTTGCATTAAAGTTAAAAAAAATTCATTTAAGATTCAGTTACAAATATTTATTACTATAAGAATAGGTAATCAATATAATCATCTCACGCAACAATAGGTCGCTTTAAACATAATCTCCTACAAATACCTTGCGTGATACTCCGAATGTCTAAAAAGAAAAAGAAAAACAGCTAAATAAAGTCATTATATATTTTTTTCAAATATTTTAGTACATATTAGCTAGCTACAAATTTAATGTGTCAATATCGTGAATAGAAATATGCTCACCTAGATAAGTAGTAAACTTCCTACCGATGCAGCACGTGAATAGTTCATAGTTCATCTTTATCGAAAAGAATTTTAGCTTCATAAGTTATTTTTTTCGGCTATGAGTGATACAACTAACAAAGTATAGTTTACTTTTACTTTATTTTTTATTAGATTTAGTATTTTACTTTAAGTTTTTTAGTTTTTACTAAAAGTTTAATTATTCTAATGTTCATTCAATTAGGGAAAAAGGACTAGGTAAATCCGCCTTATAACTTTCATAATTTTAATATCCAACCTTTTACTTCTTCTGTTTTCTACTTTTTTATTTTTAGTTTCTTACAAAAACTTTGTGGTGGTGCTATTTCAGGTATTGTGGGAGTAACTTTAGTATTTCCTTTGGACCTTGTAAAAACGAGGTATTACTACCAATTATTATTACTTTTTTTTAAATTTTTTTTAAATTTTTTTAAAAAAACAGATTACAGAATCAAGGGAAGGTGAAAGTTTATACTGGAATGTGCGCTCTTTTTAGTTTTTATAAAGCATTTTAAAGTTTTATAATTTAAGCTTTTAATTAGTTTTACAAATCCTTAATAAGTTTTTCTATTTTCATAAATCAGTGGGGATTGCATCAACAAAATAATTTCAAGAGAAGGCTTTAAAGGGTTGTACAAAGGTAGATTCTTTTTGACACTCACTCACTTTATATAATTATAGCTATAATAATCATAATTTTTAACATTTAAAACGTGTAACCAACTGCATCCCCAATAATTTTAATTTTAAAAAGTTTATATTTTTTTTGTTTCTTTATACTTTGTATATATTTTAATTAAAATTTTTATTATTAAAGGACTTTTTCCCAACCTTGTTGGTATTACCCCTGAGAAGGCAATAAAACTAGCTGTGAATGACTTTTTTCGACAAAAGTTTGAGGTATTGATAAGTTAATGTACAATTCTTATTATTATCAATATTATTACTACTATGCATTAGCAACCAGACGGCTCCGTTAAACTTGTTCATGCTATAATTGCTGGAGCATCAGCAGGATTTTTTCAAGTTAATTTTTTTTGATTCGCTTTTATTATATTTTCTGTAAATTACTATTATTTTTTTGAAGGTTGTAGCCACAAATCCAATGGAAATTGTTAAGATCCAAATGCAACTGGCCGGGGCCGAGCGGAAATCTATTACTGGTGCTCACTTCTACTTTTATAACGTTTTGATTCGTTATTTGACCCCCATTTGATCATCTTATTGGCTCCGAAAGGTTTGTTATCCTGCGTTTACTCTGCTTATAAAGAGTAAACAGCAGCAATATTTATATAATATGACCGTTTTCTGTCTTTTTAGACAATAAATATATTTGAAATTTGCAAATTACTTTTTTTTGGTCGGCCGTTATACTTTTAATTTTTATGTATACATTTACTTTTTAGTATTTATATTATTATTATTAGCATTTGAGTTGGTTAAGAAAATGGGTCTTAAAGGGTTGTATAAAGGCACAGCGGTGACTTTGTTAAGGTTTATTATCATTAATACTAATTATTATTATTATTATTATTATTATTATTATTATTATTATTATTATTATTATTATTATTATTATTATTATTATTATTATTATTATTATTATTATTATTATTTATAGAGATGTTCCATTTTCAATTATGTACTTTCCTTTATTCGGATTGTTTAAAGAAAATTTCTCCAACAAGAGTGGACAATGTTCCCCTTTTAAAGTTCTTCTTTCTGGTAAAAATATTATTATTATTATTATTATTATTATTATTATTATTATTATTATTATTATTATTATTATTATTATTATTATTATTATTATTATTATTATTATTATTATTATTATTTATTATTATTATTATTATTTAGGATGCATTGCTGGTACTTTTGCTTCTGCATTTTCCACTCCCGCTGATGTTGTAAAAACACGATTTCAAGGCATTTTTTATAACGTTATTACACTTTCAGGCGCTTTTCTTTTATATAGAAAAATATATTTTATAAAAGTAATAGACTTAAATATTAAATTAATTAATGTATTAAATAAAACAGCCAATAACAATAATATAAAAGTATAAATAATAGCATAAATAAATTATAAATAAAAAAATTTTTATACGGCAAAGTTGGCCATAACGTGCTCTTTCGTATCCTAAAAACCATATAAAAATGAGTGGTCTGATTAGTAGAAAAAATTAAACGCGTGTAACAGCGCGTGCTTCGTTATATTCAGTTTTTTTTAAGTGATATTATTAACTTCAGTTCTTCCTAAACCCGGCCAGCAGCCCTTTACTTCCATCTACCATTGTGCTAAGCATATTTATATAAACGAAGGTTTATCATTACTTTTATAAATAATATTATTATGGTTATTACTATTATTATTATAAGGACCGCTTGCTTTCATGAAAGGCGTTCTACCTCGAATTTGCATTATTTCTCCACTGTTTGGTATCGCTCTTACCGTGTATGAAGTACAGGAAAGAATTTATATGAAATAGAAGGGAAAAAAGGGAAAATAAAGTTTTTTATTGGTTAAATATTTACTGTTTAGTAAAACTTTTTTGTTAGTTAGCAAAGAAGAAGCTTTTTAGTAATACGTAAACCTATAAAAAATTTAATATTTTTCTTTTAAGTCTATTTTTATTAAAAAAAGCGTTTATATACAATATTAAATGGTTCCTTATTTTTATTGAAAACTTCTCAACAATTTTCGTGAGACTCAACTTTTTTATATAAAGTTTACCAAAAATACTCTTTGAGAAGCACGTGTCAAAATTCAAGTGGGTCTCCGAGCACGTGCTGAAAGACTTTTTTGTATGAAATATTGTTTACTTTGTGTCAGAGTAATATAGTTTTAATAAAAATTATTATTATTGTTATTATTATTATTACTGAAATAGTAGTAGTGTAGGTATAAGCACGGTTGATCTTTATATTCCTGGAAACTTTTATATAAAAAGCTCGTTGTAAAACTTTATAAAACGCTTTAAAAATTTTAAAGACTTCCAGAAAAATTGCTGGTTTCTGCTATTTATTAATATAATTTCTAGTACAAAAAAATACTCATTTAACGCCTTGTGCGCCTTAACTGCCTCTCCAATTGTCGCGCGCTCACGTGGCCTGGAAGCCATAAATGTTAATAAAAATACAGTACATAAACAAGTGGCACACACCAAATCCAGTTTCCCCTGCCGAATTTCCAAATTGAACGGGAGCATTTGCTTGATCGTTAGTTGAGCCAAAGGAAAAGCCAGTTGGGGCGCTACCGCCAGTAAAATTAAAACCGGGCGATGTTCCGTCAATAGAACCGACAGAAGAATCGCCGCCCGTAAACGAGAATCCGATAGAAGGCGGGGCTCCCGCATTCGTTGAAAAGTTAACACCGTTATCGGCTTTAAAAGCACCGCTTTCAGTAGAAGACTCGGACGAGAAAGGCCGGGCGTCAAATAAGAAAGAAGATGAGGCTGATGGTGCGTCTTTAGTGGAGAATGAAGAGCTGGACGCCCCTTGAAAACTATAGCCGACTGATGGTCCCGAAAAAGGTTGGGGAGCCGGGGCCGGCGAGCTACTGGAGGAGAAGTCTACTTGCAAATAAAAATGTTTAGCCAAAGCAAAAAATTGGTGAAAGGCAAACCGAAGCGGAACGGAACAGACGTCGATCCAAAAGAAAATCCTTTATTCTGATTGGTAGCAGTTTCTAAAATGCATGAATGACTAAAGAAAATACACAGAAAACAACAAAAGTGCCAGAAAAAAGGTGTGGTGGCGGTTGTCCAAACACAAATGGTGGAGGAGTCGGAGTTTCAACTAATCAAGATATTCTACAGTAAAAAGAAAGGCAAGTGGAAAGACTTGAGTAACCAATACTTTTTTCTGGAACTACGACGGGCGACGGGGGGTTTGACCGCCGGGCGAACAAGTTATTTTCTGCGTCTTTGGTTTGTCCAGAATCACCATGCGTATCATTAACTTTGTTATATATTTAAATAAAAAAAATAGTGAAAAAATGAACATCTTAAAAAAAAAAAACGAATATAAACAAAATATAAAAATAATAATACTCTTATTGGAAGGGAAACGCTCAGTTCTACAAGATTGACAAATCAAAGAAGTTGTTGGGTTAAGAGCAGCGCATTGATCACAACTCCACTGGTCACTTTTTAAAGGGTCTAATAAAGTGTTACCAATGAAAACAAAAAATATTAAATTTTTAATTAACACGTTTCGCAAAATCAACCAGTCAGTTTTGAGTAAATTTCTTAATTCAACCAATAAATATTAAAATAAATAATATAAATGCCTATAAAACTTTTAGTATTGCAGTTATTTTCATCGTTCGAAGTTTTACTTTCGTTATTATCTACAAATAAATAACTAAATAAAACAAAAATAAATAGGAAAATATGAAAAAAAAAGCCTAAACATAAGTTTGCTTTGGTTTCTATGTTTGCTGTACTCTCCGGAACTTTACTTTCACTGTGAGCTACTTAAATATTATAAAGTAAATTTATAAACGATGCATATAATAAAGATAGTAGTAATATAAAAAATATAGTAATAAACGTGACAATAATAAAAAGTAGATTATTTATAATAAAAAAAATAATATAAAAATAGTTTATAAAATAAAAGATGTAATATAATATAATAAATAAATATTGTAATATTAAAAACGAGTTAATAAATATAATAAAGAATTTGAAAAGGTAGTCAACGGATGTAATATATAATAATAAACAACAAAAATATAAAAGTAGTTTACAAGGAAACTTTCATAATAAATAAATACCAATATATTTATATTTTTCTAATAGAAACGACAGGAACTTTATATTCACAATATTTTTTGATAATTAAAAATAAAATATAAATTTTTAATATGCAAAGTTTATAATGAATATTAATAATACTTAATTTATAAAGAAAAATAGTTTACTTGTAAAAAGTGGCGTATTTTTAACGTCTTCGGAAGAGTCTTCCGTTTTACTTTCGCTTTTTTCTAATAACAGAATTTAGCGAATATAATAAAAATTAGAATATATGTCAATTTATTTAATGAAAGTTGTCAATTAATTAATTATTAACAAAATTTAAAGGTTTATTACAAAAATTTCCAATTAAAAGGTTTAATATTTATCATTATTTTCAATAAAAGTTGTCCTAAAAATTATCAACAGTATTTAGAGTTACTACAGATTTTTCCAGTAAAAATAGTTTTATATGAATCCTTTTTTATTGAAAGTAGTCCTAAAAATAACTTTTAACATTACAAAATTTTAAATAGAAACAGTTTTTCTAAATATAAATAGTTGAACAATAATAAATTAACTTTAACTTTCTATATAGAAATGTTTAGTATTTATAAATAACAACAATATAAATATAAAAAATTATGTTTTTCTAATAAGTAGTTCAATAAAAGTAAAGATGTTTATATATAAACTTAATTTCCCCTATAATATCAATAACAAATAAAAAAGAGTCAAACTATAATAATAGTAATAATAATAGTAATATTTATATTAATGTTTTACTTTTCTCTAAAAGAATAGTTTATACAAAACAAATAATAAATATTTATAAAAATTATAAATTTTAAAAAGAAAAGTTTAATAATATCACATTATAACAGTAGTAATGAAAATACTTCTGGATTTTTATAAAAGTAGTTCAATAAAACAAACAAAATTGTATAATAATTCCAATATTTTAACATAAAAATTAATAATAGTTTATATATACAGATAAAAATGTTTTATAGTTGACTTTTTTCTAATAAATAAAGTTATAAAATAAATATTATCAATGTTTTAGAGTCCACTTTATTCTAAAAAAATATATTATATGTATTAAATATGATAACTTTGTAATAAATATTTTATTTTATAATAATCTAATAACAACAATTTTTATATAAATATTTTACGTTTTCTTAATAAAATAGCTTAATACTAATGAATAAAAACAATATTTATATAGAATTTTACTTTTTTTTAGGAAAAATACCTCAATATTTGTATAAACATTACCGTTTATCTAATAATATATTTTTGTAGATATTAAATATATATGTAATAATTGCCTATAACAGTTGTGCGTTTGCTGTTAATAACCTCCGAAGAAAGTGTAGGGCTCTCACTTTTTTCTAATACAAACATAATAATAATAATAATAGTCAATCTTGACTGCACTATATATATAGATACCAATAAATATAATATGAATATATTTGATTGCGCTATAATTAAAATATTAATGAATATTAATAAATAAAAAATTGATAATAAAAATAAATGAGCTACCATTAAATGGCACCTCACTACAGTTTCTTTTAAGGTTTTCAGGTTCTTCTAAAAATAATAATTAATAAAAATAATGTAGAATATAATAAAATAATAGTAATAATATTATTAATACCAGAAACTTTTACGGGCACGTCAATGCTCCCCTCATTTTCTACAGAAAAAAACATTTTATAAAACAAAAAGCAACAGTTTTACTTTTGATAAACTTTAAATAAAAGAATATTATAAAAAATATACTTACTTTCAGCTTCTGGTTTAAAAAAAGTTTTAGTAGAAAAAAAATTTTCAGAAGTTATTGGAAAAGTTTTTAATGATTCTTCGTTACGAAGTTTAGTTAAAGATTCTAATAATAATATTAATAGTAATAAATATATTAATTATAAGGTGAACCTGTGTTACTTTTTATTTGCTTTTCTTTCTTTTCTTCTGGAAGGCTAAGTGAAGGCTCAAGACTGTTAAAAAAAAGGAATAATAATAATAATAATAATAATAATAATAATAATAATAATAATAATAATAAAAATAACGGTTCTGGAGGCGATATCGGAAAAAGACATGTGGTTGGCAAGCTAAAGTGTTCATTATATAATAAGAACGGCTCGGTGAATGTGAAAATTCCCTGCAAAAAATATGTTTAAAAATAAAAAAAGTTATAGAAAACTATAAAAAACCTCGTGAAGAGTTTTCACATGGACAGGTGAGACTTCACCACGTGCTAAAGTCACATGTACATAAAGAGGGATATTTGTCCAACCAATCCATACACTTACTGTCCTCCTGTGGCATTTCTTTAGCTTCAGGGGTGTTCGTGCAGGACAGGGTAGACGGGCTCTCAGCAGGCGCAACTTCAGTTGCGATGGTTTTTTCTTGAATACTTTGGAATAGCCATTTGTATTTTATTTATATTTTAATGCATACTTAAGAAACAGGACATTCAACGAAAATAAACATAATGAATAATAGTAATGATAGTAATAACAGACAAACTTATGCTGCAGCATCGGAAGAGATTTTTTATTTTCACAGACCGGAAAGACAGTCTCTTTGCTTTCCACGTGATCTTACCATGTTTAGACATCAGTCGATTATATAAACCGTTCTTCCACCGATAAAAAGAAACCCTGCTTACGTAAGGAGGCCCTCGCTCTTTCTAGGCCGGCAGTAATAGCGTTCGAGCCACGGAATAGACGACTCGACTCGGGAAGTTCTGTATTTAAGTATAAATAGTTTACCCATCAGCATATAGAGCCGAGGGACCAAAATTTTTAACGAACTTCGCAAGGAAACTGGCAAGTAAGAGATGTCTCGCCGGACAGAAGCCACTTGGAATCTGGACGCCGGGATGGCCGGACGCCCGCCGTCCTGCTCCATGGAGCTTTTTGAAGTGCTAATTCGCTCCAATAGGCGTTTAGCATTCTTATCAGCAAACGACCCTAACATAAGTGATAAGGAATAACAGTTATATAAAAAAATATTAATATAAAAAAAATAACGAATATAAAAATTAAAAAAAATTAATATAAATTCTAAATGCAAACGGCACTAAAGTAAATAATAATAAATAAATTATAATAAAAAATAAAGAAATATTAATAATATATATATATAATTAATCATAAATTCATTACCGTGGGAAAATGGATCCACTACTTTTAGTTTAGAAATTTCGAGATTTTTATTTTCCTCTAAATCTATTCCTACAATTCCAGGCGATAGGGCAGGCGTCCGCAATAAAAACCGGTAAGCCCTCCCATCTCCAAAAGCGCTGATTTTTATTTTTTTATTTGGAGCTTCATCGCGAAAAAAGGACTTATTTATAGTAGTATTGTATCTCTTTACGAGATTTACAATAAATGTTACAGACTAAGATGAGTATTTACAATAAACATACATCTTTTAATGCATTCGTTGAAGTAACTGCGTGGAGCTCGGAATTAAAAACTTCCCGATGAGGTCTCTTCCTAGCAAAATTAAAATATGTGAACGAACACAATTATAGTAAAAAAATTAAATTTGATTATAATTAAAAGGAATATATATTAAAATTAAAAGGAATATAAATTAAAACAACTATAACTCTGCAATAGCCACGAAAATATAAAACTTTTAAAATATTTTAAGAAAGAACGCGGTTGAAAAATCTTATAGTGCGGCTAAGATAAAAAATTAGATAAACTAGATTTAAACAAGAGAAATTTATTGATAAAAATTGTTTTAAAACCGGGACCAACAAAAAAGAATAAAGTCAAATTGTTAAAGAGAGCTGTAAAAAATAATTTCAAAAAAAATTAGACTCAAATTTAAGGACCTCTGAATGCTGTCCATAGTAGAAATTGCTGAGACATTGTTTTCATCTTTCTTCTCCACACAATCATCTAGTAAATTTTTTAGCTAAAACATATAAAGACTTAGAAAAAATTAAGTAAATTTTTATTACTAACTTTCTCACAAGTTTCAGACGATAATCCTGTATAAAAGCTTTTATTAATTTCTTCAACAATATAATTTTTCTTTTCGGAAATAAAGTCTGAAGGCTAAAGAGCTCAGTTCTACCACCAGTTATTGGTAATAATCTAAATAAAAAGGCGGTACGAGGAAGTCTGGTATGTTTTTAACACCCGCAGGAGCTGTAGAATCCGTATTAAAAGTGTGTAATAACTCTTTTGCTTTTGGTAATGAGTCAGAAGTGTCGGAAGCTATACAATTAATTTAATTGTATATAAAAAAATTAGTCAAAAGAAAATATTTAAAACAACACTAATAATAATAATAACAAAAGTTTCCTAGGAAATCATCCTTGAAATTTATATTATTAGTAACAGAAGGCTGAGATTCTTCAGAATAACGAAACCCTTGTAATAACTTTAAAGTGAATGCACTTATGATAGTGAGTATAAAATTATATACCAAGTAAAGACCAAGGAATGAGTGATTTTACTTTATTAAACAAAGAATTTATCACCTTGAAAGCAGTAGAATATTAAAATTAAGTTTCACGAAATAACATTCACAGATTCAGTCATTTACTCTGGAGGGGCTCACTTTAGCTGCGGAACTGGTGTCCGGCTTTTTGCCAGTTTTTATGATTCCTCGAGGATACTTACTTTTTAGTTTACGCATTTTTTCGTACTTTACTTTAAATAAATTACTAAACAGAACTGAAAAAAAGCGACAAAAGTAAAAAACTATAACTCGGTTACCCTCCTAAAAGAAGTGTACAAATAAAAATTGGCAGCTTATGTCTTAAGAGGCATAAGAAACTACCGAAAACGTGATTACATGATAATTACATATTTGATACGATTTTTTTCGTGCTGTAAACTCTCTTGTTTCTCAGCAAGCTTTAGCAGGAAAAAAACAATTGTTTATTAATAAATATTGATATAACTGTTATCTATATAAAGTAAAATATTTCTCATTAATGGGAGAACAAAGTTTATATATTTACATGGCATTTCACAAATATCTTCTTGTTCACAATATACTAACACAATTTAAAAACTGCGAATAAGAACTTTATTGATAATAATAAAGGTAACAAAATGTTGCATAAAAAAAAAAGCTCTATAAAGTTTAAATGTGTTTTCTCTAGTTATAATTTTAAAATTTAAATCTTTTAGTTAACAGTTAAAGAAGAAGCATGATGATGACAAACATCAAATTGAAGGTTTACAATGTCGATTTTAAACGCTGCAAACTATAGAGCAATAGCTTGACACTTAATTTTTAACGTCTGGTAAATTTTTTTAAGAATTTTTAAAAGTAAACAACTATAATTGCAAAAAAAATGTTCTTTGATTAAATAACACAACCGGGGTGACCTGTTTAAACTGAGTGTACACAGGTTGTGTAATAATTGTTTGACTGCTGCTTTACGGCCGCTGAGAGTTGAAAGCGCGTGTTGCACTCTTGCTCCCCTTCTGAATAAAGGACACTCTCAAGACTAGAAGTTCCTAGAGACATTAGCTCGCATACTGGTAGTCATAGCAACTTCCTGTGATATTAGTACTAAAAGAATTTAACTCGACCATTCCTTTTATTCAATGTAAGCATTTAAAACCAACAAAGCGTTAAAAAATAATAAGACAATTGTTTCATCAATTTTTTTTTGCAAAAAAACTTTTATACGGAGAGGATTCTAATGGTGATCTTTTAGACTGCCATCTCACCCTCTCCAGAATATCATATGAAGTCTGTTATTATAACGCAACAGAACCCTTTCGTTTTTTTAAAAAACATGCAGTCCCCATACTATAGTAAACTTTAAAAACACATTCGTTAAAGAGTACTAACATTTTGAAAATTTTTGTGCTTTCATTTCATATTCAATTGGTCTTCATGGTTAAAACGCAACACTTTATTGGTTCTTTTTCGACATGTTTTTTTTTTAAATCTAATTCTTCGACTTCTCTCATATTTCCTTTAAGTATCTTTATTTCTCGTTCGCTTCAACCTTATTTATTAAAAAAAATATTAGTTTTTAATTATAATTAGTAATAATGGAAAAGGTAGAGGCTTTTATCCGCGAAAAAAAGAGATATTCTAGTATCCCTTTTGAAGCAAGAAAATATTTGTCGCCAAGGGAGTATGATAGACTAATAGTTAGGTTTCATTAATAATACAGTGTGTTAAAATTATATAATAATTTATTTATTCAAACATTATTAAAGGTTCAGCATAAAAAATCAGTTAAGGTGGAAAAATAATATTGTACGTTACGTGATTAGAAATGAAAAAATATATTATGACGGGCTATTAAAAGATAGTATTGAAAACTTAAAGGTGACTGTTTTTAATCTTAACTTTAAATTAGTACGTGTAATATCTGCTTAAGATTTATCCTTATCACTTGTCGGACGTTTTAGTGAAGGGTTTAGAAATATCTCCTTTTGTATATTACCGAACTATGATCATAAACAATATACTTAAAGAGAAAAGTTATGATTCTATCCCTAATTTTACTGCTACTGATTGTAAGTATTATTTATTATTTTTTATAACAAATAAACGTTAAGGAATATTATTTTTTAAAAAAAATTAAGGTCTTAGACTTTTGGGAGTTGGAAGAAATCAATATATAAGCATTGTTAATCAAAGCAAATCTTCTGTGACTTTTTTATGGTCAACTTACCATTTACGCTTGTAGTAATTTTTACTTATAGGCGTATAATATAATGAATCTAACAAAGAAAAGGAAGAGAATTATTTCGGATTTTCTTCCTGATGTAAAGCATTTTTGTGAAATTTTTTGTCATAAATAAATTTTGATTATTTTAAAACTTAAAATAGAAATTAAATATTTGTATGTATATAACAGTTTCCTGTAGATATAAACATTACTCACTGGTGGGTTGCAAGAGTTGGTTTTATTCGCCAGCACGATATAAAAGTAGCGTATAAATTTCTTTTCATTCTGTTTAATAAATATTTGAAACTTGTAGATTTTAAAAAAATCGTTAAAGGAATTAATTTTTTCTTAGTACAACTTTTTTTCACGAATTTTTCAAATTTATAAAAATTTTAGCTACCATAGTTCCTTCGTGTGTTTTATTTTTGAAACACTGATCTTACACAAAATTTGATAAAAGGACTGTACCATGGAGGAACGAGAAATAATCGAGATGTTAGTAGAAAAAAAAAAGATGATTGTAGGCCGCTTGGATAAGCAGCTTATAAGCAGCCTTTACAAAAAAGGTTTTACTACAATTATTAATTTATTTATTTCTTTAAATCTTTTTTTTTTAAACAGGGCTTATATATTTACAAGTCCCCATTGATAATCATGATTGCATTTCTGGTACAAAAAAAAATTTTTTTTTAAATTAAAGGTTAGTAAACACATTAGTACAGTGCCACCGCTAGAAAGTTTTGTGATGAACCGCGTGACGGGTGACACTTTTGAAACTTTACTATACAAAATCTTTGTAGCCGTGGACGAGTACACCACCGTTGAGGAAATCGCCACTGTTTTGCAAATCCCGTTAAAAGAAGTCAAGGTCTCTGTACTGTGGAGATCTGAGTAGTGAGTGTTGCTCAATTTCTTTAGAATGCCGTGTCGCTTTACTGCCGTCTCAAATTTGCCTCGAAGCTTAACACTCCGCTACTCCCCGAATATCACGAGTCCTGGCTCAGCTTAGAACAGTAGATTTACTTGTAGACTTCATTCGTACATTCACGCCCAAAACACTGCGAGGTAGGAAAACACGAGGCTTTCAATTACACGAGGCGCATCAGAAACGTTTAGCCATTATTTTCGATAGCACGCTAACCGCTTTCCTAATGATGGGGTGTCTTCTTATAATATTTCTAATCTTAAAAAAAAAATTCTTTTGTTCTGTCCAACGTAGAAATTTGTTTAATTGGGTTCAGCCGTGTAAATAATTAGTTGTTGTTAATGTTTATAATTTCATTGTTCTGCTTGTTAACAACCCCAAAACTTTGTAGAAACCTCTCACCTAATCTAAAAACCCACGCCGTCACGATGTTCGAGGTGGGCAAATTAAATAATGAAAGTATGGACGCCTTTATCGAAGAGCTAAGTAAAGTATCGTCATATATAAATCTCAAAGGAAAGAATAAAAACAAGTGAACACTGTCCACTTATCTTGTGCAGGTGGAGAAGAACACAGCAGAAGGGGAGGCTCGACGCTACTTTGAACATGCCATCACGTTAAAAAACACTCTGGTTACGCTGAGAGGTTTCTCCATTTAACCCACTTTCTCTGCATTATCAAACTTGTTTTTGCTTGTAGATGACCCTCACTTTAGAATAAACAAAGATTACCAAGGAGTAGGTTGGCCATAGCAACTCGTTTAGAATGTTGTTTTAAATAATTAACTAGCCGTTGGCAGATCTCCTCCATCTCGAGTCGCTTTATAATTTAGGTCATGAAGCACGCACGCGTGTGTTATGCAAAAATTATCACCTTCTTATATCCATGGCCCCTTTAGCACCAGAGGTCAGGTAGCAGTGAAGAATATTAAGCCGCTTCGAATTCTCACTTCTCCACTTCTCCTTAAGGGCTTTTCCGTCCTCGGTTCCAACTCACTTTGGTCCTCCGGTCTCGGAGGCCACTTCGCCTTGGTTTAAACTCTGGCTCTACGTCACTGCCGGCGAGGGCCCCCCTTCATTGCTTCTTCCTCGTGGCCTCCGCGTTAGTCATCTCCCTGGCTGCTTTTATGTACGTACGCTTCAGTATACACGCCCGCCTTCGTCTTTACTGAAGCCTCTTAGCGGTACAGGACAGTTGTAATCCACACGTGGTTTCAGGCGCCTCTCATTGTGCCAAGTGCTGCGTGTCTGGTGGCCTTTAACGAGGTGCTGCTTCTCTCCGCAGCGATGATACAAGTACTTCGCGCTTCCCTTTGGGGCCCCTTATGTTTTTCTTAATTACGACATACTACTTAATCTTTAAGGGCTACTCCCATGCAAAAACGCCGACGTTTGTAAGTGACTATTTTTTTGACACAATATAATATGACCATCTTTTTTATACTTTTTTCTATACTGTTGCCTAATAACTTCAAGTTACTTTATACATTACTCGCTTTAAAACTTGTATCAGCTCCATATCCCGTTCCCATTACCAAAAGAGAAAGAAACGGGGCTAACATGCGTTAAGGATTTCAACGAAATGGGTGATCCCTACGTGCGCCCTCTGTGCCTAAAGTTTTCTTAAGTAACGCACTCTTGAGCAGCACTAGTCAGCGGAGATGCGGGCTCTCTGAAATTTATACAGAAGTTAAAGGCCGCTGTGGATCTCGAGCACAACATTGGATTTATTACGCTACTCTACCTGCCCTGTACAGACACTGCTGAAGAAAAATCTCTTTGTAGCGAAGATAACGAAGGGGGCAGAAGCTGTAAAAGCAACGCCTCTTTGAACTCAACAAATAGCGAAACTGAAATCAGTAACGACAATTCAGCGTTCGAAGATGAAGTAGACTTCAACGACTGGTCTTTGTACGATCTCCAAGTCAGTAATAATTCAGGCTATTGCCATGTGGCTACTGAATCTATTTTTCTGTTTATTTGCATGTTCAGTTTGGCATTCCGCTTTTTGAACGCAGCATTAACCAAACTATCTTAAAAAAAGTTTCTGAAGAAAATTTGTTTTCTGCTGAAAATCTCAAGCGACTGTCGAACTCCAGCAGACAGCTCTCATTAAGGCTCTTGGACTTCATTTATAAAAAAACAAGTAAAAAGATTATAATTCCGTTTACTTCTGTGATTTCTTACTAAGCATAAAATTTTAAACATTAATAGTAACTTAAATATATATAAGTTTACACTTCTAAAATTATTTAAAATTATAAATTTCATTAATACTTTTAATTAAAAGAAAGCAAAGAAGATCAGTTAACTTTTGATTCGGAATTTCCTGTAAGTTGCTGGTATTTTTCAAATGGAAAGCTAGAGATTTGCGAAGAACAAGAGTTTATGTTCTTATAATGTAAATTTTTAAAAGCATTATAACAGTAAAAATAATTGCAAAAAAAAACTTTAACGAAATCGATATTCAGATTATTTTGTTGTTAACTACAACCACCTATTTCTTAAAATTTATTAATAAAAAGTTTTTTTATTTATAAAGTTTATTTAAAATACTTTAAAATGTTTTTAATTTGTATTAAATTTATTGATCTTTTATTAATTTTTTATACATGAAATAAATTATTTTGAAAAATGGATTATTTAAAAAAAGTTTTTAAAAAAGTTTTAAAGAATTGTAGTAGAGTAATATTTAATCTATAAAAATAGACATCAGAAATTTTTATAGTTAAGAGAATTGATAATCGGATTAGTTTAAAACCAAAGCGATCAACTCGGGTTATTCACTTTGACACTGACTTAGTTAGTGCATTAAGTGAATTCATAAATTATAATTTTAAAAAATATTTAAAATAATAATTATTTGAAGCAAATTTTTATAATTCTATTTAAGAATTATAAAATCTCTAGTTAAAAAAGACTTAAACGAATCAAATTAATTTACTAATAAAAGTTTTATATTAAAAGATTTTGAATTTCAATCAATCAACGAAAATAAGAGCTATGCACATTTAAAAAAAACTTTAGAATATAAGCGTTACTGGATATTAAAATTAAAAAGATTTAGAAGTTTGTAAATTTACTCAATATAATTTTTTGTCTTTAGTTAGAATAATTAAATGTTTATACAAAAGATAAATTTTAAAATAAACTCTTTACTTATGGGTTATTAAGTTTAATATTATCCTGTATAGAAAAAATAAAAAAGTATAAATAGAAATTAAAAAATTGCAACTTAAATTTCGCTGCTGTTTAAAATCGAATCGCACTGCTCAGACTTTTTGAAGACAGGAAATCTAAAATAAAAAAAAATTGATTAAAAAAATTATGTTTATAAAAATTTAAAAAAACCTCCATGCTGTTAATAATGATAATAACTCTTCATCATTCACGGCCGTTGTTTTCATAGAGCATATGATTTTCGGCATTTCTTCAATGTTTACAAAATACCCTAAACATGTATTATGCCTTAATATAGTGATAATAGTATAAATAAATACAAGAACCTTCTTTAATTAGATTAAAAGATATGAAAGATCGAAGATTTGGTAGAAGAAAGGAAATAGTCGTAAAGTTCCGGGTCCGTATTTTGCTGTTAAGTTTTTTAGAAATGCAATAAAAGGAGTTGATATAAAAATAAAAATTAGCTGAAGTCTCCAAATAAATTTAGGTAGTTATGAAATAGAGCAAGATAACATAAGATAGTATTATAAATAAATAAAAGGACCTAAAATTTTCGAGAATAAATGGTTTAAATGTTTTATCTGCACTCCAGGCGATGTATAAGTGATCCAGCAACTCGTAAATGTCGTCCTTTTTTAAACTTACCGATAATAAATAGAGACGCTTTCTTTAAAAAAAAAGTCAGTATCCTTCTTCTATTAACAGATTTCGCTGTAATATACTTTGAATTATAAGGTTTCAGCCTGATTAAGTTTTCTGTAACATTATTGCAAGTTAAATTTTCTAATAACGACTTGCAAGTTGCAGCCAAAAGATCTGTTCTGTTTTCTTTGAAATAAAAACTTTATAAAAGTAACTTTATTATAATAAAAATAAATCACCAGGGGTGGAAAGAAATCTAGTTTTTAAATCAATGCTTTCTATTATAAATTATAGAACATAAGTCTACAGAAAGCAATGGATTAATTAGCTAAAACCTATTTTTATAGGATTCTCTGGCCTTCTGCTAGGAAATTTTAACAATAATTCCTCAATAATAAGTTGTTCTCTAGCTAATCTTCTCAAAAACATTGTAAAACTACAAAATACCTCTTTATTATAAATAATGTTTACCCCCCTCACACTTTCATCTTAGCGTTGAGGTTGTGCTTTCACGCCACTCTCCTCATGATCACTACGTTTTTCGACAAGTTTGTAAATAAAAACGAATGTGTAATAAGCTTAAGTTTGTTCTTTGAATAAATGGTACTTCAGGTCATTTAGAATCGATTAAAATAAGTAAAATATCAAAATAGTGTAAAGTTGGAGAAAAAATTTTACTTAAATATATTATATAAATGTAAGTTTCCAAGTGAAGATTTGTTAAAAAATAATTAAAGTGTAAAGATAAACACACTCTATGCTTCAGGCTTGATAGTAACGAAGGGATCCTTTTATATGTACAGCTATAATTAGATATATTAAAAAAAAATTTATTTAAAAAAAAAACAGTTTTCATATATATTTTTATAAGTCGATGATTCCGCCCCGAAGTAGAACAGATGATATATATTTTAAGGTTCCAAACTTTATATGTGGACTAAATTCACCTATATGTTTTCATAACTTATATGCTAAAATGAAAAATCATTATACCTCCTCTAAAGTTAATTAACAGTTATTAAATAATTTAACTAGTAAAATCTAGTTAAATCTATCAAACTTGCATATTTTAAATTTAACCCACAAATACGATAAAACTTTACTCCTTCTCAGCAACGTCAGTGGTTCGATTCCGTTCCTAAGCGTACCTGCCTAGGGGACAAGCACCTTCAATTCTAACCTTTCCTACTCCCTGGGGTGGCTAATTTACTTCGTAGCTAAGGCTCTAAGACCGTAAACATAGATTAGCTCAAGTTGATACAATAAACGGCTTAAATTCATAGAATCATTGGCTTAGTTGGTACGGTCATTAGCTTTATAAAATGTCACCAAGCTCAATGTGAAGTATAACTTTAGAAAAGACTTTGCTAAAAGTTCTACAATCCAAAAGGCTAATCTAGTCCTCCAAGGTCAAACAATCAAATTGATAGAACTATTAATGCTATCTAAACCTAGGAAGTAATTTTGGTTTTCTCAATTTGGCCCGAGTTAACATTGAGGCTCTGCTACCTCTTTATGAATGCCCGTGTTATGTAGTAATCTCGTGCTTCTTTCCTAGCATTAACGACTAGTCTATATATCTGGAGCGCACTCTCATTTCATTGAAGTTCATTGAGTTGACTTTAGCTTTCTGTTTGTATATATACACTTGCAGCTACCTCTAACAGTTTTATTTATATATATTTATTTATTTTATTAGTACTTCTACCTTGAAGGAATACAAACATCATTACTTTATCTTCCATTCTCTTCACTTATATTTACCTAAGTAGAATCACTTTTTTGACCTTAAACCGGTCATTTTTCATAGTTAAGGTGATTGAACTTTGCTGTGCTATGGCGCAGCGAGTACCTGTTTGATACTCTTCCTTGCCTAACCTGGCTACTGCGGCCGGCCGGGCTTTTAAATGTAGCATCAAACACGACCTTTCCCCAAATCTTGCAACGAGTGCCCAGCATTTGTACACTCTTTGACGGACGAGGATTGCATTCTGTCCCTTGGCGGTCATCGTACAAGTGCTTTTTACAGACAAGCCTATATATATAATTGGCGTCCAACCTTGACATTATACCTGGCGACTGTCCGATGGTTTCTATCTTGGGCAGCTAATGGGCTGCCATCCTAAGGTGGATGGTAACCTAAATTCAAAAAAAAAAATCTGTCTCGGATCGTGTCACCCCCTACGATTAAAAAGATCTTGCTTGATCGTTAGCTAATACAGCTACTCAAAGGTCAATGTAATGATTAAACCACCTGAAAGTTGTGTTTATGGTACCTTCCTGAGTTCAGCTCTGCTGTGAGGGTTACGTTGTACTTAGGAAAGCTCTGGAGTACGTTCGGATTGTGTTGAAAAACATGCTTTTAAAAAGGTGAAAACCTAAGGCTGCATAAAGTCTTTAGGCCGTTGAAATCTCCCCCTTTTACCGAACATACTGGCCACTAACATGCCTTTTGCTCGATGCCTTCGTGTTCACTGACTAGAGTGGATTGGGTCATGTTTGATTTTAAATAAAGTAACACACAAAGAGATAACAACTCTTTCACTTTATTTCTAAGCTTCGCTTTGAGTACTATCATTGTCTTCCAAAGGAATTTTTAAATCTAATCTGCCTAGGAAAATCTATAGAACCCTTGCAATTAATGAATGAATTCTGGGTAGTACATAGCTACGTTTTGTAGAAAACTAGCTTTTGTCCCAGCAAGTAAGGTACACTGAGAGTTACTAAGGAAGCTCTATAGGATGAGTGATTAAAACTAACACTGTTGCTAAATCTATAGTTACTTGAAAGCCACAGAAATTTTGGCTAATTAACTGAACCGTGTGATACTAGGAAGAGGCACATTCGGATGGTCTCTCGTCGTTCGGATCTGAGTGCTGTTTTTTCTTAGAATAGTGTTAGCCACTAGTACTATATATGAGCTGACCATCAATAATTTTAATGTTTTTCATAAAAATCCAAGGCCTAATAACGATAATTAATTATTATAGAACTAAATGAATAAAAAAAATCAAAAGCCTAATAACAAGAATTAATTATTATCTAACTAAAAATGTGTATACAAAAATAAAAGTTCTTGAATTTACAATATAATAATGCCTCCAACTATTCATATTTTTCTTAAAGTATAGTGTAATATATGACTTTAGGCAGGAAATATAAGAAACAAGCATCTGCACAATTTAAAAATATTTACACAAAAAGATAGAGTTATATAAAAAATAAGCCAACCATAATTAAGAATAATAGCCACGTGTATCACTCTACTTCTAACATGTAACCCAGGATGCCCGTTTTAACAGAGATAACAAGTATTCGTTTCTTCTTAGAAAAGTTTTATATTTCTTACTTGAAAGCTTAAATATGGTTATTGACTATAAGAAATGGGAGGTTTGGGAGAAGGCACTAGATAGTTATGATCAAAAATTAGATAATGAGAGAGCTTTACCTAAAGTTACCCGGCTGGATAAGCCTGGCCGTGTCACTATCGGACCTTGCAATTCAGGTCTTACTTTTCCGAGTGTAAGCGATAAAAATTATTTTTTAAGCAGAATTTAAAAAACTTTTGCTACTTTTATTATATACATAGGACGACAAAAAGGTTTTACAACAACCTCAGGGTACAGTAACGGCTATTAAACATTGTAATTTTTATAGAGAGTATTTGTAAAAACCTTGCTTATAATATTCTTCAAGCACTATCTTCTACAAAACCTAAGGAAGTCACGGTTTTAACAAAAAATGGGAGCCAATGCTCTGCATTTATGTGGAGTCAAAGCACTAATGAAGTTCATCTTTCTCTTTTTGTTCCTGAAAACACTCAAGGGAAATTTGTAACCATCAATTTAACTAGTAAAGAATTATCTGTAAGATTGGCGTTTTCTAAGTAAGTTTATTTTAAATGACTTTTATTTTTGAAGTTAAATATAATATTATAAAGGGTTTACTTATTTAGTTACATTTTAACTTGTTAATTACATATTTTGGGGTTTACATCTATGTGTTGTTTAAATTTATAAAACTATAATTTGACTTTTTTATTTTTATGTTTACTAAAGTTTTGTATAAAGTCTATATGTTCAACTTTTAAAGAGAATGCCTTGTTATGTTTACTGTAGCGGAGCTAAAACATCGTTAATTACTTTATTAGTTATAAATTATGATATTAAATAAAAATTTAAACTGTATACAAGCAATATTATTTTTTAATTACATTTAGTACAGTATCTACACCCCTTCCTTATTGGATTCTATCAGCTGATGGTAAAGAACTTTCTTTTAAAAAAGAATTTGCAAACTATGTTTCCGCTCCCGGTGAACCTTCTACGTAAATATAAAGTTTTTTCTACATTTTTAATTTTCGGATGCTAAAAGTATAAAATTTCAAACTTTTGATAGTTATAATGGATTCGTAACGGAAGAAGATCGAGAGTACGACATGGTTGATTGGGAGCTTAAAGTTATTTTTTTTATTAATACGCTTAAATATATAATTTTAAGTAACTAACCTAATTTTTTATTAGTAGGATTTATTTATTGAAGATGAAAAAAAAAGAATTTTAAGTATTCTTTTAAGAAAAACTGTTCCTTCCTCTGGAACTATAATTTGGTGGTCCAAAGTTTTTGTAGACGTCCAGGATGAGGTGGAAATTGACACTCGAAAAATTGAAGAGCGGAAATTATATAACCAGAAAGTTGAAAATGAAACTGAAGGTGGCGCTTCTCGGGATCCTTGGGAGGAGGCCCAAAGAATTTTTAAGGAAAAAAGAAGTTTAATAAAAAAATAGTTGTGGGATTAGTATAACTCTTTTAATTTGTTTTATTATTATAAATAATTCTTCGGCCGATTGTAAGGAGAAAAAAGTTTAGGGAATACAGGATTATAATATTTCCATATAAATAAATAAACTATTTTTGTTTATTACTTTTAATTTATCATCCGATATAATATTTCCATATAAATAAATAAACTATTTTTGTTTATTACTTTTAATTTATCATCCGATTTAAGTAAAGTTTTGAAAAAATAAATTTTGGATTTTTTTAACTATACAAATTTTAATAAACTAATTTTGTTTATCACTTTTTATTTATTAGCCGATTCAAGCAAAAGATATGTTGTGAAAAAAAAAATAGTTGTGGATTTTATTTTATCTAATTTTGTCTACCACTAATGTAATTGAATTAGTCGTTTCTAAGGAAAAGAAGATTTTTTAAAAAAAATAGTCTTGCATTGTAATAACTTTATAAAATTATAAACTATTTTCGTCCACCACGCACAATATCAGCCGATTTTAAGAAAAAGAAAATTTTGAATAATAGTAGTGGGAGATTATCAATTTTATATAATTTTATAAACATTTTGCCTATCACTAGTGAAACATCGGCCGAATTTGAGGAAAGTAGCTCAGAATAAAAATAGTTGTGGGTATAATAACTTCAGTTAATCTAGCAAGCTAATTTTACTTTTTGGACGCAATTTAATCGGCGGTTGTTTCGAATTCTATACGTTTAAAAAAATATGTTTTTGTTATGAGCTTGAGAATAAAAAAATTATATTTGTCACCTGATTCTTAAAATTAGTTTTTTGGTTATTTAACATAGCATTTGGACATCAAATTTTTTTATTATTATTGTGGAATTCGCTTTTCATATAAATTTATTGTTATAAATATTAGCCTGACTTTTATTATATCGAAATTTCAACAATATCAACTGAATATTTCTTTTTTTAATAGGTATATATCCTTTATTTAAAGAGAAATAGTTATTAGGTATTATATTTTCTGAAGTTAAACTGTTGTTTTTAAAAAGAAAGAGTAATTCTTGTAAAGTTTAAGGCGAGTTAGTAAACCCAAATTCTATTTCTCCGATCTTTATAATTTTTATAATTTTTTGAGTGTTTTAGCCTATAATACTTTTTTAGGAATAATAACTTTAGTTATATTAAAATTACTTAAAGTTGTAAGTTATGGTGCTTATTTACAGTTTTTATTAATTATCTAATTAAAACATCATTTTAAAAAAAAAAATTTACAAAAATAGTTGTGTAACCTTTATGCCACATGTTACTTTTCTTTTAATTAATAAAATTTTTATTACACATATTCATACTTAAATAATATATATGTTTTATAACAATTTTAAATCAAATTATCTTCTTACCATATATAGCGATTACCGCTTAATTTTATAATTGAAAAAATTTTAACAATGCTAAATTTTATTTTATTTTTCTGTAGACTAGCGCAATTATTTTAAAAATAAACTTTCTAGCTTTGTTTAGCTAATTCTTTTTATTATCAGCTAAAATAATTGTTTACTATTTAAGATAAGCCTTCATGAATGACAAAGGTACAAACTAACTAATATACAAAGGTCCAGATTTTTAATTTGCAGCAAGACTTTTTCCTTATCGTTTGAATTATAACAAATGAAATTACTAAAGAACTAAAAGAAAAAGAAACTTTGAAAAGAGTGGAAAAGGCGTGACAAATAAATTACTATAATTTTGTTGAACTAATAATACCCTCACTGCAAGCAACTATAAAAATAGTTATTAACACCAAGAAAATCTGCAGCGGTTGAATGTGAAAAAGATATTTCTAAAATAGTTATGAATTTAGTAAATGGAACTTATAAAGATTCAAAAATACTAAAGGTAAAATGAGGTAAAGAACGATCTATTGTTTATTGGTAGAAATTAGAATCAATACAATATTTAATAGGTTTAAGCTTATATGAGTGATCATAGCCAGATTATGATATAACTAAAGTGCAGGACGGAAACGCAATAGTTAAAGTAATTTCAGAGGTTCTTTACAGGCTTCAGTGCGATGTATAAACATCCAACTAAGAAAAGGTAAGATTTTTTTCCCTTATGAACTTTGGTTTTTTTCTACTTTACTTAAATTATTAATGATATTTAAGCGGGTACACAAATGTTATTCATACAAAAAGCAAACCAGAAAAAAATTTAAAAAGTGTCTCACGCATTGCCTAAAATTATTTAAGTGATATTTTTTTTTTACTTCTATATTTGTAAAAGTTATTCTTGATTGCGCAATACGCTCCGCACCAATACAGTAAATCAGTTAACATACGATCTACACTGAAATCAATGCGAAAAAATAAGTTTTTAGAATACAAAGATTATTATAACTCGCAGTAAAGCCAAAGTTGCAACTCTACAAATTAAATTCTTATAAGATTGTAGTAAAATTTAATTTTTTTCAGTTGAAAATATCTAATGACTATTATAACAAAAATAATATATAAAACAAAATTTTTATTAATAAGTGATAACAATTCTAATAAATACGAGGCCCGCATATATTTTAGTTAGCATTTATTATTTCATACCTAATAACCAAACTCAATTTAAAAAAAAATAATTTCGTTTTATTCATAGACAGCCGGTTTATTTACAAAATCCTTAGATCTTTAATTTTGTAGATCAATTTCACAAAATCGTGGAATTTACTGAGGCCAAAGCCTGTAACTGAGGCCCGAGCGATTAAAGGATTTCTAATCTCACAGGCCTTACTTTATTTTTTCGTTCTATTTTAGTAGAACGAGCTAATTAGCGTTTTCAGAGGTGGTAGTTTTGTTCTACCAAAAGAGAACCATTGTATCTCTTCTTTGAATGCTAAGTTCCTGCTGTCACGAAGGGTAAAGAACTTAAAAAACTTGCTTTATATTTAAATAATAGGTTCGACTAATAATTTTACTAGTCTAACTTTACTACCTAGGCGAAAAGGTATACGCGTAGATTTTAAGAGTCCAAGTTATGGGTTCAGTTCCCGTGAGTAGGACTAACTGCTAAAAACTAACCAAATAGGATCATTCTTTACTGGGTGGGACAACCTACCGATATGCAGCATTCTAACACAAAGCCTAAAGAGTTAACCTGATGAGTGTCATATTAAATTAGACTGTTAGCCTCAATTATAAAGGCTTTATAACTAACTTGAAACTCTTAAAGTACAGAGAGGATTTGACTAAAGTGCTACTAATTTTGAATTTATAATTGAGGGATTTGGGAAGAGGGATAGCCTAATATATATGAGATAAAACTTATAAATACTTCTATGCTAGCTTCCTGTCGTGGAGAGCCATTGTGTTGTATTCTTCTGACTAGCCCTGGTTTAAGTATGAGGTAACCTTTAACACTAAAATGGATAAGACTTCAAAATAAAAATCCAGGTGTGAGCCCATACAAAAACTCTTTTAAACGTCTCCACTTGAAAGCTAAGAAGAATTGGCTAAATCGTTATCCTTATTGGAGCTTTATGTTATTAGAGCTCACTTCTCAATGTTATAATCAACATAACTACTCGGACGAAAAAATGCAAAACTCCGCCCTTTACCATTTGGTAAGCCAGTTGAGCAAAATATACTTAAGCAGTCGACTATATGAGCTGTTTTACGAACCTACGAAAATATTGTGAACTAATTAAGGCTTGTGCTTATTTTATTTTAGTAGAACATAATATAAAACGTTAAGCATAGTAACCCTAAGAATTAGGAATCATCGTTGTTATTTGGTTAAGCGATCCTCTGTAACTTTTTTCAGTTCTAAGTACGGGTGTAATATTCATAAATAATTCTATTGCCAGAGCTAAATTACCTCACAAAAATAACCTGACGTAAAAGCTACCCTGTTATGTTCAGGAATGTCCTTAAATTAACCCATTATCTATGTTATTGTCTTCTCATCGAATGTAACAATTTAATATAACGGGCTAACAAGCTTGCTTTAACAAGTTAAATGTAGTACTGTTTAATGATAATAATACAATAATGCTCTTACCTTATAGGGGTCATGTAAAATAAATCCCCTATCTACCATTTTGAACTATAA